CTGGATATTCTCTCACAGGTTTGGCTCATCTCTTCTGGTCCTATATTAAGTGACTAATCGTTTCTATGTATTTCAGTTCGTAAAAAAGATGTGGTTCTCATTTCTTCTTTTATTGGTAGTTGCTTAACTCCGGCACCTTGGATATCGATTACCTCGGAAAGATGCTTGAGTTTTCGTTGGTTACTCTGCGCAAACTCTCTGCTCCAGCTAATGACCGTGAGAATGAAAGCACCCACCAGAATCTGCTCGAGGAACTTCACAGGTTGTGTCAAGCTAAAGATGAATCTGGTAACCTCCGCGCCGTTGCAATAGTCAAGGGCATCCGCTTCATTCTTGAGCAGATTCAGGTCTGTATCCACCAGCTTCTTCTTTTTAAATCTCATCCTCTTCATCAGCAATGGCTTGTCCCTTATCAGCTTCTTCATATTTTTTTTCTTTTCAATATCCAACAGGAGCTTAAGCGAGAAATAGGCATAGGTCGCATAACAATAATGAAACCCTTTTTGCAAGGGCAAGCAGGCTTTGATTACCTTACACAAGCTTTTGAAAAGCATTATGGACCTCCCACTCAAGCCTACGATTCACTACCAGTAACCCGAAGGTGGATTTCAACGCTCTTGTCCTGCAAAAACGAATGGGAAGAGCACACCAATATGCTTTCTGCCTTGAATGTGGTTGAGAGATCCTCCATGGGAATTTCTCTTAAAACGGGTGGAAGCTTTTTAACCCCAGTCAATAGCTCGTCACAATCATCTGTTACGGACGCTGCAGGTTTGTCTTGATTGAGGAACCAACTCTGCAAATGTAAAATTTTTTATATTGTAGCACTTATGCTTTCTTATGCTTTGGTTCAGAAGGTAAACTGGTAGAATGCAAGGGAGAAAAAGTTGATTTGGCAGTGAGGCTCGGATTGTTGAAGCTAGTGAGTCAAGTATCTGGTTTAACTCTACAAGTATTACCAGAAACATTCCTGCTCAACCTCTCTCGCGTGAGGGGTATTCAAGCTGAAATTCAGAAGATAGTCGTAGTATCCACAAGGTATGAATGATGGTTATATATTAAAGTTACAAGACTCAATTACAGAAAGTTTTTTTTACCTGAAATTAAAAAAAGATTTGCGATATTATGTGTTACGCAGCTTGCTCATTTGGCGACAGATGCTTGCAAGTGAGAGAATGGTGAAGAGCGAAAGCGAGACAGAAGCCATGGCAAAGAAATTGTTGGATCTGTTAGATGGAAAGGAGGAAGCAGGACTAATGGAGATCGTCGAGACAACAATGAGTGAAGAAGGAGAAGAGAAGAAGAAGATGATGGGAGGATTGTTGCGGAAGAGTTTGGAAGAAGGTAACACGGTGTATGAGAGAGTTACAGATTGTATATACAAAGCAGTGAGAGGAGTTTTATTGGCTGGGAATGGAGAAAATGGGAAGACATTGGTGGAAAGAGAGTTGAAGAAAGTGGGAGGAGGAGGAAGTAGTGGTTTGAAAGAGAGGGTTTTAGAGACTGCTCGAGTCCTTGGGGTCGTGGCTAGTGTCTCGGTCAGAGTTCACGGTCCATGGCTGACTCAGCTCATGCAAAACATTGAAGCTCACATGTAAGTGTAACGCAAACAGTACCACTTAGGTAAATTGTATAGCTTCTGTATATAATCTATGATAATAATATATACACTTACACGTTTTAATGTAAGCTGCTTGTGATTTGATGATGATGATGCATATGCTGATTTGTAAAACGAAAACAGCTTTGGCCTTCCTCTTTAGTTTTATGGATGTGTCTGGAATTAATAAAGTCGTTTGAATAGCTTGTGATTGTAAGTATTCTGAAACGTTGTTGTATATATATCAATTATATAAAGCTTGCTTTCAAATTTATCAATGTATTTTATCTTTATTCCTTTTTTCTTTTGTGTAGACCACAAGTATCAATGTATCATACACAGATTTCTTATGCCTAGAGTAAATATACTTTTTTCATTTATCAATTCATAAGATTGCGGAATTATGAAGATTATGAAAATCGATGGAATTATGTATGTAATATTAGAGATAATCATTAAGCTAGATTGCTTCTAATTTACCTATTTTGTTTCACACAATAGAAAATTAAAAAAAGAATCTACTGTTTGATCAAAAAAAAAAAAAGAATCTACTTTAGTTCAATAAAATAAGAAAATATTTGGTCATGGGAGTAAAATAAAAAGCAAAAAAAGGAAAGGAGCGAAAATGAATAGCTTAGGAGGAATTAGGAGTTGGCCGGCGAGTTGGAGAAGCGCGACGAAGACGACGGCGTCTATGACGACACCGGAGACCGTTACAAAGGTTGCACAGGTTCTGACTGTGGCGGGATCGGATTCCGGCGCCGGAGCTGGAATCCAAGCCGACCTCAAAGTTTGCGCGGCTCGTGGTGTCTATTGTGCTTCCGTCATAACCGCCGTCACTGCTCAGAACACTCGAGGCGTACAATCCGTTCATCTTCTTCCTCCGCAATTCGTCTCCGAACAGCTGAAATCTGTTCTCTCCGACTTCGAATTCGACGTCGTAAGCTCTTCTTCTTACTGATTAGAGTCCTCTTTCTCTCTTCTGACTCTGAAGATGATCAATTGGAGTAATAGGTGAAGACTGGGATGCTTCCTTCCCCTGAAATCGTCGAAGTTCTTCTTCAAAATCTTTCAGATTTTCCAGTCCGTGGTAGGAAGCAGAACACCTCGATTGTTGTATTTTCAATTGTGTCTTTCAATGCTTAATATAGTTCGTTATCTTAAGGCAGCTTTGGTTGTTGATCCTGTGATGGTGTCAACAAGTGGGCACGTTCTGGCTGGTTCTTCTATTCTCTCCATCTTCAAGTAAACTTTTAAGCAGTTTAAGTCTGTAATTCTATGTGTTCTGACTTCAGTGATTGGTGTGTTCTATATGCGTCTGACTATGTTTTCTAATTGCAGAGAGAGATTACTGCCAATTGCTGACATAATAACCCCAAATGTGAAAGAAGCATCTGCTTTACTTGGTGGTGTTCGGATTGAGACTGTTGCAGAAATGCGGTCTGCGGCAAAATCGTTGCATGAAATGGGTCCTAGGTTTTCATTTTTCTCTCATTCTTCTGCAACCTTCACTCCTTTTTATTTTCATTCCTTAAACTTAACCTAGTGTGGATGAATTTGAGACGAAACCTTCTGGTGGTTCATTGGCAGTTGTATGGACATAAAGTTCTTTCTTTTAAGTTTGATTGCTATGTGGTCCTGCTTGGTCTGGAGCATTACTGTGTGATGTTGATCCACTTCTTTTTTTTACTTAATCAGATTCGTACTTGTCAAAGGTGGTGATCTTCCTGGATCATCAGATTCCGTAGATGTTTACTTTGATGGTATGAGAACTCATCAGTCTTTCCCAAAATAAGATTCTTATACTGGCTTTGTTGATGAAGCTTGATGGACTTGTACATTTGTTGTTAAAAACTTTAAAAACATGTGTAACTTTTTTCTTAGGCAAGGTGTTTCATGAACTCCGTTCTCCTCGCATAACTACGAGAAATACTCATGGGACTGGTTGCACTTTGGCTTCATGTATTGCAGCAGAGCTTGCAAAAGGCTCTTCCATGCTCTCAGCCGTGAAGGTATACTTCTTTTCCCAAAACATTTTTACGCATAATGTTCAATGCTCATGGCTCTATGTGATATATACTAGTCTCTCCGAAAGAGCTATTTAATAGTGGAATTGATTTAAAATGGAACACTGTTTTTAAAAGTTCAACTTTTCAGCAGACATGTTTGGAGGATTGATGCTAGGGAAACGTATTTGGGGACTGAGAATATCTGTTTTTGGATTAGAAAACTGTATTAACAAGGCCAATCTCAAGTCCCAGACCTCTCTAATGTTGGCAGGTGGCTAAACGCTTTGTCGATAATGCCCTAAGTTATAGCAAAGATATTGTGATTGGCAGTGGGATGCAAGGACCCTTTGATCACTTTTTGGGTCTTAAGAAGGATACTCAAACCTATCGACGCAGCACATTCAATCCAGATGACCTGTTTCTATACGCTGTTACAGATTCTAGAATGAACATAAAATGGAACCGATCCATTGTGGATGCCGTGAAAGCTGCTGTAGAAGGAGGAGCCACAATCATTCAGCTGAGGTTTTAACATATTTAGCTATAATAGAACTTCGTTCTAGATTAAATTCTTTGTGTATCTCTGTATTATGGATGCCCCTTATGACATCTCAGTGGTTCTGCAGGGAGAAAGAAGCTGAAACTCGGGAGTTTCTCGAAGAAGCAAAATCATGCGTTGAAATATGCCGGTCACGTGGAGTTTGTTTGCTGATAAACGACAGGATCGACATTGCCCTTGCTTGTGACGCTGATGGAGTCCATGTCGGTCAATCAGACATGCCGGTTGATCTAGTTCGGTCTCTTCTTGGCCCGGACAAGATCATTGGGGTCTCATGTAAGACACCAGAACAAGCCCACCAAGCATGGAAAGATGGTGCGGACTACATTGGGTCAGGAGGAGTTTTCCCAACAAACACTAAGGCCAACAATCGTACCATAGGACTCGACGGTCTCAGAGAAGTATGCAAGGCATCAGAATTACCAGTGGTTGCCATTGGAGGCATTGGAATCTCAAATGCTGAGTCTGTTATGCGGATCGATGCACCGAATCTAAAAGGTGTAGCGGTTGTGTCAGCTTTGTTCGACCAAGAGTGTGTTTTGACTCAAACTAGGAAATTGCATAAAACGCTTAAAGAGAGCAAAAGGGATCATTGAAGACCCCCCAGAATACTTCAGCAATGGCATTTTTTTTTTTCTTAACCGGTGTTACTTGTCAGCTCCCACGGTTACAAAATGTTGAGAATTTCTTAGTTCAACTAAAGAGAAGTTCGTTCTTCTTCCTTTTCGTTAATTTTTGCATCTCTCCAAGCAGTCACATCATGTATCATTTGTGTTTAGTTTGCAACGTGTTTTTGATTGCATCCAATTATCTAAGAAATTTATTGTTACAGCAATCCTGTAAAATGGAACAAAATTTACCCTTGACAAAGATATTTCAATGAGTACAAACAAACCATTTCCCTTGCCTCTATATACATAGTCACTGAAATGATACAAAGACGACAGGATTTTTTGGCATATCCCAGTTTAATTTAGTTGGCAGATGATCTTGAAGCGAGCTCAGCAAGCACCTTCTCTGCTGCTCTCCTCTTCAGCACCTGCAAAATCGCAGAAAAGAAAACGAAACAAAAGCAAAACCACATGAGTAAAAGAAAACAATTGCTTGCAAAAACATCATCCATAATGCAGCATTGATATACCTCTGTAGTTGCTTTGATTGACGCTTGCTGCCTATTCTGTCTATCACGTTTGCATCCTGGGCACCACCCTGAGAACTCTGTTTGAAAATTCTTCATATCTCGAAAAGTTGAGCTACATGAGAAAGACAGGGGAACATGAAATCCAATCAACAGTCTTACCACTTTTGAAATGGTTCATGAAACAGATGTGAAGACATTGGCTGATGAAGATATCTAGCATTCGTGTAGAACTTTAGTTAAATGGGGAAACCAGTGTGAAAAGGCTTTACCTTCTACACCACAGAATCAAGTTGACTCGGTGTCCAGCAGTTGTAGCTCTAGCACCATGGCGGTGACGCCCACGATGAAGAACAGCATGACCAGGTACATGAGAGTAATCATAAACTTCCTACAGAAGAATCAATGAGGAATCTTTTGAGTGTTGGCTATACAAACTATGAATGTGCAAGTAAGCTAATCAGTTATTAACCCACATTATAATCATAGAGATAAGAGATCACATCACTAAATGCGCACAATTATAAATGACACTGAGTGCATGATGGTTGGTTTCACAAGTACCTCTTCAATGCTTTCGGAATTCACATGGTTGTCGCATCTCACACCTCGGAAATACAGCTCCCCACCAGAAAATTGTTTACCCAAGCAGACATTCAAAGTAACCTCTGCGTCATCCACGTGAAACCCTAAAAATCAAGACGCAAGCTTTAGATATTCCACCAGTTCAAATCTAACCAACCAAGGAAGAGACTATTGTGGAGCTTACCAAGATCAACATCCCTATCTTTTCCATATTCAACAATAAAGCCATGGTGAGAATCTAGAGAGGTTCCACAGACTTCCGGGAACAAAACTGACAGAAGATCAAAACCAAACCCATGAGCACATACATACCATATCACAACAACAAACTTTTTGCAACAATACCCAAAATCTACAAAATGTTAACCTTTAGCTATAGGACTAATGAAGTCATCAACCAGCTTCTGGAGCATGCTTTCAAAGCCAAAATCATCAAGGACAACACCAAATTTGTTCAGCGTGTTGGGTCTCATTATCGTGGATCTTGAATCATAGACCCATCTCTCCATATGTTCAACCTGAGAAAAACTAGTTAGAATCTGAAATCGAAGACCAGCTACAGCCCAAAAATTATAACTTTAACTCATTCATCATACCTCTGCTAGTAACATTTCACAAAACCGTGGCTTAAGCATTTCAAAAGTGAAGATCCCCGATTTGGATTGAACAAATGTGTTTTTAAAACTCTCCTCTGACTTCCCACTAACAGCTTCAAGAAACGAAGGCGCGAAGAAACTAGAAGCGTCAAGAGAATATATCTCTTCATGCAGACGCTGGAAAATCAGATGAACAACAATCAAGAAAGATTCAATGAAACAATCGAGACAAGACGCGTTTGCCCAATTCGATATAACTAAAAAACCAAAAATTACCTGGTAAGAAGACACGATTTTCTGCCTGTATTCTCTATGCCTCTGAATCTGTTCACAAGAAGAAATGAGGAACAAATCCAAGCTCAATTTCAAGAAACGGAAGCTCGAACAAAAAAGAAGGAAAGCTTACCCGGACTCGCTCAGTGACAGGGCAGTATCGGTGAAGAATGTCCCTCATGTAACGAGCCTTGTCGAGGCGGGAGGAATTGAGGAGCTGCTCGGGAAGGTGGCGCTCAAGCGAGCTGTACAGAGCCGGGTCAAAATCCAACTCTAGATCCTCATAGCTTTCCGGCTCATGCTCTTCGTTAGGGATTCTCCGGAGCTTCAATCCCGCCTCGCCGATTCCGGGGGCGACTCGCGGTTGTTGCTGCGGCTGCTGCTGCTCGGATTGTTTGCCGGAAGAATCGAGAGCCATAGATCTTAGACGACTTAGGTTGCACATTCAGGTCAGAGAGGCGATGCGCATTCTAGGGTTTACGTTTGATGCGTGAAAGAGATGATGATGGTTTGTCTGGGGGGTTAGGGTTTCGGATTTGTATAGAACCTCCCGAAAGAAAATTTGTTGTGGGACCCACTCGGACATTTTTAGAAACGCTGATTTTTTTGGTAATTAATCTTAGTGAATTCAGGTCAAAAAAAAATTTCTATCTGAATTGTTTGTAATTAGCAAATGGATAAATGTTGTTGTTAGTGGAAATTTTGCTTTACGTTATTCACTATTTTTTATTTTCTTTACTCCAAATAGATAAAAATAGATTCGCTTGATTTGTACAAAATAAATTACTCACTGATGTATTATGAGAGATAGAGAAAGACACAGAAAGAAGAACGTGACAGAGAGCTTACATAAGAGAGAGAACTAATTCTAATGTTTACCTAAAACATGCTTAAGAGACTAGCGAGAAGCAGAGCCTTGTTGCTTTCATCTTTCTTCCCAAAAATGTCCTACAATGAAGTTATATGTGATTCACACTTTCTCTCTTCCCCAAAAATTGTTATCCAAAGAATTAAACAAATACACAGGAATCTTTCTTCCCCGAGTGTGAACTTCTTTTGCAAACACCACTTTTTATGTGTCTTCTTTATTCCTCCTATTCTTCTTTGTCTCTGCTGTGTAGTAACTTGCAGGTAAGAATGAGTTAAGCTACAAGTAAACGAGCTTCAACAACATTTGATCGATTCTGCCCATAGCTCAGTGTGTGTTTCCCCCTGCAAAGGTAGCTGCATTACAATCTAATATCTACACAGATAAATGCACGACAAGTAGCTGCCTTGTGAAAGCTGAGAGAAGAATTTCTACATACCAATCAAGCTGAGCCATCAACTAGCTTTTGTGCATAGTAATTGTAAATTTGACCATATGCTCTGAGGGAAAGAAAACCGGCTAGCTCCAAACATAAATATGTATCATTTCAAAAGTCACCACCTTTGCTTCCTAGTCAACTGCGTATTAACTTTTCAAGGAACTCGACCTCTCGTGATCTGTGGTCTTTGTCCAAATACTTGAACAAGGCCCAATGTGTATACGCATCTGGCTCGATTTCTTTATCTAGCATCTCTTTATACAACTTGACAACCTCTTCCCATTTACCGAGCTCAGAGTTCTTGTTTATTAGCAACGTGTAGCTGTATTTATTCGGTGGAATCCCATTATCTCTCATCTTGCAGAAGTATCTGTAAGCTTCATCTATCTCACCAGCTTTGCATATGCCATGTAAAAGAGCATTGCACGTCATGACGTTTGGACGAACCCCTCTCTTTTTCATCTCGCTGGAATACTGGAAGGCTTGTTGTAGCCTTCCCACTTTCGCATGACCATGAATCAACACAAAGTAAGTAATCACAGAAGGAGATAACCTTTTCCTCAGCATTTCTTGATACAAGACTTTGGCCATCTTAAACCGGCCCTTCTCTAAATAAGCACGAATAACCGTGGTGTAAGTAACACGATCAGGGACAAGACCGTCTCTATAAATCTTACGCTGAAACTCAATCGCTTCTTCCAGATTCCCAACCTTGCAGAGTCCATCTATACGAACGTTATAGGTGATCAGATCTCGAGCATACTGATCCTTTACCACCATCTCTTCCTGCAGACGAAATGCTTTATCAGAATCTCCAAGCTGCAGTTCACCCACAATCCTTGTAGTGCATGCATATCTATCAGGTTTAATCCCTTTCCCCAACATCTCATTATAAGTTACAGTAGCCATGGATAGATTCCCGTTCTTAACAAATCCTTTTACAAGAGTCGTGTACGTCTTCACATCAGGACTGATATTTTGGCTGGCCATTTCTTCTTTTAACCGCTGAGCATGTTCCAAGTTCCCTGACTCGCAAAGACCATCCATTAGAGTATTGTAAGTGACAACACTGGGACGGATATTCCTAGCTCTCAACTCACCAAACAAGAGAAAAGCCTCTGCAATCTTCCGCACCTTGATGTATCCATGCATCAGTGTGTTATAAGACACAACATCAGGAGCTGCCATACCAAGTAACAGCCGTCTAGCATCCTCTATTCTTTTAAACTCACAGAGCGCTCGTATATAGATATTATACGTAGATGTGGTTGGAGGAATACCCGCGTTGAGCATATCCTCCGTAACTCCCCAAGCTTCATTGAACAAGCCTTGTTTGCAATACCCTTCAATCAGCGGATTAAACGAATAAGCTGTAACAGGGAATCCAGATCTTCGCATATCTCCATGAAAGCGCTTAGCTTCCACCATTTTACCATTCTTGGAGAATCCATTGATCAGTATATTGTAAGTCACCTCAGTAGCATCAACCTCTCTTCTCTCCATCTCTGACAAAATCCTGGGGACTTGCTGCAAATCTCCAGCCTTGAAACAAGAATCCAGCATGGTGTTAAAGGTAATAGCCGTTGGCATAACTTTCCTCTCCATCTCTGATACAATCTCCGGGACTTGGTCCAAATCTCCAGCCTTGAAACAAGAATCCAGCATGGTGTTAATGGTGATAACAGTGGGCATTATACCGTGTTCGACCATCGTCCTATAAACCTCTTGAGCCTCATTCATCATCCGTTTATCCCTAAGAACCCTCAAAAGTATGTTACAGTTTCTAACACTAGGCAAGAAACCTTTCCTAATCATCTTCCCAAAGCTCAACAAACACTGCTCCGCCATAGATTTCTTCGTGTAAACCCACAACAAGAGATCCAGGAGCTTAAAGGCAATCTTTTTATCAAAGCCCCCTTCAATCAAAAGATCATCAATTCCGTGCATACCAAGATCGATGCTCCTCTCAGCAACCCAATACGCTTTGTTCATCAAATCATTCTCCGCTAAGATCTCGAGCACCGCAGCGAAGGCTTGCAGCGACTGCTTGACATCTCGCTGATGCTGGAGCCACTTGAAAAAATGATAAGCGATCTCTGGCTTTTCTCGAATCATATTGAGGACTCTAATAAGCAAATCTGGGTCAGTGAGGAGGAGACGAAACTGATGGGTAGACCAGTTGCGATTCGGATTGTACCCGTGGGAAGTCAAAATGAGATTAGCGAAATAGGACTCGAGATTGGAGGAGGAGGAGGACGAAGCAGGAGGAGGAGGGAGATTAGAGGATTGAAAGAGGAGGCGTAGCTTAGAGACAGAGACGCTGTTGTTGGCAGTAGAAGAAGTAGAGAAGAAAGATCTCGAAGCTCTGAGACAGAGACGGAGACATAGGATCATTGAAGAAACAGAGAGGAACACATAGGAACGAAATCGAATGGATCAAGAGAATTGTTTTCTGGGTTTTCCAAAGAAGATCCGAGAGGAGAAGGAGGAGCGGCCATTAATTTTCCACGAAGCCTTGTGCCATCTCTCCCCTCCCGTGGGCGTCGGCGATCATCTCCCGGAGCCTACAAAAACAAGGGTTTATCTCAATTGTTCTCTTAACCGAACCGGTTCCATTGCCATCTACCATCCGGTTTGGATTTTATCCAAAGCCATTAAACCACTGTTAAAACCGTTTAATCCGGTTCTGTGCTCAACTCTGCTTTCTGAAGTCAAACTCAAATTTACGTACAATATAAGTAACAAAAAAATAGAAAACCAAGGTTCCAACCGGTTGAACCACGACCCCAAATATGTCACCGGTTTGCTAATTGGATCCGGTTTTGAAAAACATTATCATGTGATATTACCTACTTGTCCAAGTCTCATGAAGTTAACAACTTTCACATGATCTTGTCTATACTCTATACTCTATAGAATGTCCGAAATCTATATTCTCAATATCCAATTTCCAAAATGAAATGCTTATTTTTTGCAAGTGGGGTAGATACGAAAAACAATATCTAAGTTACATATCTATAAAATTTGGGAATTGTATGCAAGACACTGAACAATACATATCATGAATGTTAAAAGACACATGCCACTTTCCGACAGAACCTGAAAGACAAAGATGAAACTCAAAGAAACCTTACAAAATCCAAACTTTCTCTAACTGCCAAGAGTAACATTCTGCATCTCAACAACTACTTCAGCTTCACATCTTTTGTCCAATTCAGTTTCCATGTTCTTCATCGAGTTTCGAAGCTTTATGCAAGCTCCGGAAAAGGCGTCTGAAGAACTCTTCAAACCTCCAACTTCAGCCTCAACTTCATCGAGATTTTCTTGTATTATCTTCACCGTTTGCTGCATCTTGTTTATCTCCTGCGGTGGATAAACGCAAGCTCCAAGCTCATCGATTTGTACTCCTGTTCCTTGACACAGCTTTAGTATCTTCTCAAGCGAGTCCACAAACCCGCTATTATCCTTTGGATTCTCCAGCTTGATCATCCCAGTGATAACTCGGATGAGTTCTTTCATCACCATGAGCATCTCAGAAACAATCTCAGCAACCATTTGAGCAACTTCCATTTCTTCAGGAGACAAATCATCGCCTAAATCGTCGTCGTCATCATCATCTGTGTTATTATCACCAGATGCCTCAAGCTCAGGTGAAGGACAAGCTGGCTTCACTTCTTTCATCTCCCTAAGAACATCCTTCATGGAAACCGCAACCTGCGTAATAGCTCTCCCAATTGCGATGATGTTTGTTGCAGGAACCTTCTTGAAACCCGAGCATGCTTCCCAAACTGCTCCTGAAAGCTGTGGAATAGAAGGCTTCTTGTCCTTTTCATATGATCCCTCTGGTTAACAACAGATTCAAACACACCAGACAAACATAAGAAAGCTTCAACAAGCAAGTCAATCTTAATTACTCACTAGAATTCTAGAAATACCTCCAGAAGAAAATCAAACTATGGCTATACAACACTATAAGAAAAGAGTTTAGAAATTGACAGTTGTTGGCAACCACAAGAGAAGAGACGTCTTTACCGTATAAGGAAACAGAACCCTGCAACAATCTGAAGCTGGAATCAACGATTTGCTTGACAGAGACATGTATGATTGAAGAAAGTGTAGGCCCAGCTCCAACTGTGCTTCCATGGCAACAAAGCAAAAAGCCTTGAAGAGCGTTGAAGTAAGACTCCATAGTCTCCTTGAGTGATTCAGCTTTTGGTGCTTCTCCAGTCCATAGCATTCCCACTAAAAATTCGAGAAATGTAAAGAACGAAACAAAGTTTCAGCATCAGCGCAACTAAAAAGAAACCGAAAGGAGAAGTCTTTATTCTATAACCTATGGTGGCTTGTTTAGAGAGGTGATCAGACATCTGAAGAACATCGTTCCAGTTAACTTTCTCCTCTGTAGGAGACGCTGTTCGATCGAACAACTGCAAAAAAAAAAAAAAAAAATTTACCTTAAATTTGTGTCTAATTACGATTCTAATTCATCGCGGAAACATGAAACAAAGAGTAATTACCTGGAGAGTATCGTAGATGGTGTTGAGATGAGCAATCAGAAACTGATTCAGATCTTCTCTCTTTGATTTCCCCATATTTCGTCTTCCTTCAACTCTTGTCGCCTCTCTAGTGGTGTTAAGCTAGGGGTTTTGCACGAAGCTTTACTTCGGTTCCTAACGACGTCGTTTCACTACTTAGGAGACTAGGTATTTATTACGGAGAAGCCCTTCAAGAATTTGTCTTGCAAGGTTTCAACTCATTTACCGAAAAGAGAGGGTTTTCATTAGCTGACATAAGTTGTGACAGATCCAGTTATAGAAAGTTGCTTTTATATGGTTTTGGTTCAAAATTAAGTAATGACTGTTAGTACATCACCTGAAAATTGTAATCTTCAGTCTGTTCTGATGGTCTTGTGAACTAGCTTTAGGTTACAATGATTATATGGTCATGGTGTATCAGCTTCGGTCTGATTTGGTATTGACAAAGCTTTCTAAAAGGGATCAAATCTTTCTAGTTGGTGAGAGTGACAATTAGACAAAGCAGAGAGACAGGATCAACAAGAAACGCTCATTAAGATCAATTAAGTTATTATCACAGATTATGAACTTGGACGAGGTGAAGCAGCAGCTAAAAGAGAGTTGAATAAGCAAAAGAGCTCAAGATATTGAGCCAAGTAGCAAAAGTGTATTTGACCTATAAGATACAATAATCTGCTCCTGTAAATCCAGAGGAACAGAGGAAACTGATCGTGAACAAAGAGAGAATTGGATTGTGCAAGTATGAACGAACTAGAGACTTCAAAGAAACACTTTTTAATTTTAATTAAGCTTCCTTGACGGATTAAGGCAAAAACGATATGGAAATTCAAGCATTAGTCATTCCAAATCTGCTCCAATTTGAAGAAAACATCACCAGATCATCACAATGTACAATTATATATCAAGAATCTGGAATGAGAAATTAGAACTTAGAAACCTGTACAAGAGGGCTTGAAGTTAAGAAAGATAATCAATTTACAAAAGATGGGTAAGGTTAAACAGAAGAGTCACGCCTCCTCCTCTTCCCGAGAAGCAACGGAGGCACCAGCATCGGAATCCAGCTTCACCGCCGGCAATTCCACCTTGGGCCGGCCGAAATTAGTGGGCGCGTCAGGCCCAATAAGCTGAATCGCGGCGTTGTCGTAAGCGAGAGCAGCTTCCTCGGCGGTTTCAAAGGTCCCAAGCCAGAGACGGACAGGTCTTCCCTTCCGATCACCACCGCGAGCTCTGCCGCATCTGATCTCCGCCGCCCACTTACCCCAAGGCCTCTGCCTCACGCCTCGGAACTTCTTCTTCTTCCCCGTCGCAGCTAGAAGCTTCGCCGGAATCCTGATTTTAAACCGCGTTTTGCTGACCTCGAGATTATTTGGGGAATCGGGTGAGTCGATGACGATCTCCTTGACGAACTTCTTCCCTCGGCGGCGCGACGGCGATTCGCTCTTCGTCTGTTCGTCTTCGCTGCTGGAAGAATCGGTGGCCTCTTCGTCGGTGAATGAAATCCTTACAATTCGCTTCATCCTCGCCGGGAAAGTTGGAATTTGACGGTGGAGAGAGTTGGTGCTAGGGTTAAGTCCGGTCACTGAAAAGAACGGAATCAGCCTCTTTTCAAAACCAGGATTTGTATTTTTATCTCGTGAGAATATCTAATTATCCTGGCTTGTGCGTTACTTAATCCATTATCAAGTCGGTTTTGAACAAATCTTAGTAGGTCGGTTGAACAAATATTATCAAGTCGGTTTTCAAACAAGCGACAGCAACAACAACAAAAAAAAATAGCAAAAAAAAATATCTTGATTTTGAAATTTATTGCAAGATTGATTTTTACCAGTGTGAAAATATTTTTTATTTACTGATTAGTAAAAGAAAACATTGGATGTTTTAGATTGATTTTTTTTTCTGTTTTTGTAGGTGCAAATGTTTTTGGAAAAACCGGCATAGTACACTTTAGAGTAATCTAATCGTAAACATTATTATAAGAAAACGATAATCTTGTGTACATCAGTTCAGCGATCATTTTTTAAAAAGAATGAGTAGTTACATTCTTACAGTTTTCTTTTTTTTTGGTCGTTATATAATATTTTTCTTTTCCAAGACAGTTTTATTTTTGTCTGTAAGAAAAATAACATATAGAAATAGGTCCGTTTGATTTGAGACATTCAAGTTTTCGGTTGTGATGAAAATATTATACATGTATGTCCAAAGTCCAAACTACCAACTACCAAGCTACACATATTTGTGGTTCGGTTTTAGATCAAAAATAGATAAATTAATAAAATTCTTGTTCGATTCGCTTCGGTTACACCAAATCATTTGGGATTGTATTGGCCTTTTGGGCCTTAAACTCTAGGCTTCAGTGATCCTATGATTATGTTGAGTATGATTGTTATTTCCATAATTTGACATTCTGACTATTATCAAAGACAATTTAAATCCGCAAAACATGATTAGATCGTGTATAATTGTGATCAATTACTGACTGAACTGTCTACAAGCTATAACATTTCTAAAACTCAAAACTTAGGATATTTGCAGTATTTTTCTGATAATGGCAAATACAAAATGCTCTCTCATGTGACCACTGAACTAGATGCGTCGATAAAACTTTTATGAATATATAGAGCTGTTGTGACCTTTTACATGATGAGAAAATTATCAAAAGATTTCAAAAACCTATATGTATATGTGTAATCTGCACTCAATATAGTTGCTTAACCCTGAATGGCTGAATCCTAGTCAACAAGAAAACGTACTAGTCGTTTTGCAGACTCTGAGTTCTTGACAAGTGGTTTCTTGATAAATTAAGTATATGAACATCAAATCATCAACCAATTAATGTAAAACCCATGAGGTCATGTTTGTAACCTAAACGATGTCGAATACTGGGTTTGTAACAAATTTTGAATAGGATCGTTGTCGTCAAGAGAATTGTCAATCTTTTCGTATGATTTCAAACTATATATTAAAAAGGACCATATATTACTTACAACTACGAAATTATGTTATTATAGTACATATTTGGATATATTTTATGCACGATACGATACGATTGAATTATTAATAATTCGTCTCCGCAAGTTACTGGACTATTAATAATTCGTGTACACATGTTGCATACTAAATTTAAGTATATATAAGAGAAGATATTACCAAACAGGTAAAAGGGACGTTTACCAAAATTTCAACCTAATCTCCCCAAACCCCTTTTGTCCACATAAGTTAAAATTACGCACAATCAACCCAGTAAGTTTAAAATATCCGGTGACCACTGATTACTATTGTTGGTATATAATTAAATAACACATTATATAAGAAACGTGACATAAGAGTCTATATATATATATATATGGAGATATTGCAAAACGTCGGAAACAGAATTATTTTTTGTAACCAAATAAAAAGTATATCCTTTGGCACGACAGTTTTGTTAAACAGGTCAATTTGGATAAATTTTCTAAATCAGAGATGTGTATGAAAACAAAAAAAGAATTTAACAATTTGTATCTTCTTACTTCTTATGCGTTTAAATTATAACTTTCCAACATTAATTAATCTATTAAACTAGTAAGTATTCATCGTCAAATTTGCGTAAATAATGCCATGAGTTCTACAGGTTACAGATTCACAGCAATGACAGAGTAAATCTATATGGTTATTTTTTTTTCAAGTACTAATCGACTATGTGGACATATGCATAAACTAAACCGATTTCACTTCATACGGAACCTAATCACAGGGTACTTAATTTTGGATGATGGTCTAAAATGTAAAGAACCGGAACCCGGAAGGTATTACAGACTAAGAGGGAAGTGGGTCTATTTGACAATTATACGGCCTGAAATGTGGTTCAACGTACATGTATTATCTCAAGTCATACATGAGTTACGAACGGCGCATTAGAAGGTAGCAAAAGCTGTTTTGGACAAGACATTCTGCTTAAAGCCCAAATTCATGTACGAATAAAGGTTTATTGAGGTTTGGACTGGATTACATGTCCACTCACTTAACGATCTTTGAATGCTTTATACGACGTTATCCTGGAGAGACTCTAATTTCTTGGAAAACAATTTTAGTTTGTACGCATAAACCGAGCATTCTGCAATGGCGGTCGCTACAGGGGAACTGAGGTGGATAAAAACGTTTTTAGCTGATCTTGGAGTACGATCATCTTGAACCGACATAATCTTTTAGCGATAACCAAACAACTATATATATATACTGCAGTCAGTCCGGTTCATCATGAGAGAGCATAGGGACAAAAGTTGTTATTTAGTTCGTAAGACTTTGCAAGATAACTAAAATTTAAAATCGTATGCATGTTTCAGTGAAGTAATATCAATGTCAACGTTTGTTATTTGTAATTTACGCGCATCAATTCGAAAGTGAGAGTATTATGAATAAGATATCCTATTCAAAAGTGAATATAATATGAATCATGTGTAGATAAAAATAGGGAATATATATATTCTAAGTCGTTTAGGAGTTACAGTATCTAGTTTCATATGTTAATAGTACTTTAAAATATTTCTCTTTACAATGTTTCATATGGACAATTTAAAAAAAAAAACTTTTTCTACTCTTGCTAAACCTAAGAAAGAAAAGTTACGTTTGGTCATATGGACAAATCAAGATTAAAAACCTAAAAAACAACAACAACTATCCTGATACATTTAAATGCAACAAGATCTTTGGATGAATTACTATGACAAAAGAAATCGCGATAGAATAGGAAAAAATGTAAAATGCATGCATCTCCTGCATTGGTTGATAAGTTTCCAGATATATGAATTTTAGTTTTTAAAATCGGGAGGTGGGCTCCATTTTGTTTACTATATATGTGTAATGTTTCAATTATTTTGTATTCGTGTGGGTCGCAGTTGCCTCTTGCATGGTATACCAAAAGGTCCAAAATAATATCGATCCTAAGTTAAAATTAAAGTCAAAGAGCAATAATTACATACTCGATATGTTTTTCCTTCATAGTCTTCATAACATGTTTGAAAGATAATTAGAAATCCATACACTGTCTGTCTCCACTCTCCAGTTCCAATCGATTTCAATTGGTAACTTAAAAGTTGACAGAAATGATTTTTAAACAAATAAAATGTGTCAAAAGATTATTCGGACTTATTTGGTTTAATTGACGGATATTTTTGCATTATATTTGTTTTCATCATCTAAATCGCCTTAGTTTCTTTGCAACTCAAAAATCGCTTAATTTAAGTAATGGTTACTTTAGTCTTTTGAAATTTTGTATCACCGATCTGATTTATTGATGGACTGTTTTCAGCCAATCGGTAGATAACAGTTTATCAAATTTGTAGTATTTTTCACCAGATAAATGACATAAGTTGAAGCTATATAGTAAATTCCATAATCAAATATTTCTTTAAACAAGTTTGCTTTATGTAGTACAAATAATTGACCATGCATCAGAAAATGACCTGATGATGAGTGAAAGGAAACGGCCTCATTGTCCGCCTGGAAATATTTTGAGGAGCACATCAATATATATACATATAAATATATAAATATCTTTCCACACCTCCAAATTTAAATAGTTATATCGTTACACCTGACCTAATAACAATTATTAATGTTCAACTCATCAATAAGTTAAATAATGTGTGTTTGCTAATTCTCGGAACATAATACTCACCACCCAAACTTCCCTATATATATATATATATGTATATACTATACTCCCACAGGATCCATTACTAGCTCTCTCTCTCTCTCTACAAATCTCTCTCTCTAAAGATATCTCTCTCTCTCTCTAGGACAGTAAACATGGGAGCTTTGGATTTTCTCTCCGACTATCTATCAGACCATTTCTACGTTTCAATAAGAAAACGGAAGAAGCATAAAGTCATGCAGGTAGCTAAAATCCCTAAACGACGCCGTTTACCTGTTGTTAATTTCCTCGTTTATTAATTGTTTAACCTTTTCAAGCAGACGGTGAATATAAAGGTGAAGATAGACTGTGACGGATGCGAACGCAAAATCAAGAACGCTGTTTCCTCCATGAAAGGTTCGATCCTCAAGTCAATGCTCCTCTAGTCAAAACACCACTCGCCTTTCTTGTTAATATTGAAAAAAAAAAAAAAATATATATATATATATATATATATTGTGTTACAAGTTAATTATGATCCACACGTAATTATGCATACCACATACAAGAAAACTACTTATAAACTTATACTGTACCGTAGTAATTAACAATATCCACGATTTATGTAATCTGACGTGTCCAACGTAATTCCCTTTCCAAATCAGCCAAACACGGCCTTACTCACCACTCCTTTTTTATTGTTTTGGTTTGAATAGGAGCAAAATCTGTGGAAGTGAATAGAAAGATGAACAAAGTGACGGTAAGTGGTTACGTGGATCCTAAGAAAGTGTTGAAGAGAGTGCAAAGCACTGGGAAGAAGAAAGCTGAGTTGTGGCCGTACGTTCCGTACACAATGGTGGCTTATCCGTACGCAGCTGGAGCTTACGACAAGAGAGCCCCACCGGGTTTTGTGAGGAAATCGGAGCAGGCTCAGGCGCAGCCGGGAGGTACAGACGATAAGCTCATGTCCCTTTTCAGCGACGAGAACCCTAACGCCTGCACCGTCATGTGAATGAGTTTAGCTAGCTAGTACTTAAGTATTGAACGGTAAGAATTTGTTAGTAAATGTTTTTTCTTATAAAGTTTGTATGTAGACTTTTTTTTGGTCTTGTGTAGAGTCATAAACAAAGCAACTTATGGAAAAAAAAAATATGTACTGTGTTATTCTCACACTTTGCGTTTAATTACTTATAAGGCTATTTAATTCTCAATAATAGAAATTGCTTTACTGTGTTTTCTACGGCATGCAAGCACAATTTTAACTTAAGATTTATGTCGGAAACATTCGATTGAGATGAACTTTATAGAACTCTCGATAAACCAAACTGATTTGATGCGAGCTAGAAGAAAGAACATTAGCCCAAGTTTTCATTAAGTTAAACTGGTTATTTAAATATCCATAAAACTAATAATTAAATCTAAAGTTCTAAACTACATCGGAACAAAGATAATATCATTAATCTATTTTGAATTCAAACATGAATTCAAACATGAAGTTAAATAGATATGTAACTGGATCAACCAAAATATTATTATTATATTTTTTTTGTTACGCTAACGAATTTAAATTCAGATGTGACAGACGGATAGTGATCATGCTAGCATAATCGAATGATCATATTCAGTTTTATTTGGGTTACTAATATCTTAAAGCTTAAAAACCCCGACCTGAATTCAATGGTAAGCAAGATTAAACACGACCATATTATACGAATGAACTGTGAGATGTTTTGTTAGTTCTGTGTGAAGTGTCATTAACGGTGACACTCTTCTTTATCCGAAAAAAAAAATCCGTGATTAAAGGATTAACATGGCGGTGGATAATTATAGTATAATTAATGCCCTGTCGAATAAAATATGTATTTAAATAACTATACTAGACCAGAATTTTGCTTTCACTCGATTAGCCGATACTAGTAAAAGAGTCTTGTGGAGGCAGTGGTTGGTTAACAAAAAGTTGAAAGATTCTATGACGCTGGAGAAATCCTTGGCAAGTAAAAAGCCAGACAACAAACAATTTTATTCCATATTTGCATTAGTTTGACACGTGTAAGATCTGACGGTGTACATTCGTTCAATTTCATGGGTCCCATTGTATATCTACGTAATTAATGGTATTGTTCCTCGGTGGAAAGGATGTCGCTGATGAAGTCTTTGGATAAGAAGAAGATAAGATATTTGATAGTGAATAAATATTTATTGGAAAGTAGTAACTACAATTCAAAATGCATGCAATTCAATTGCTTATTATTGTATGTGATTATTAAAATTTGGAACATATCATAGTTTGCCGACCACCAGTAAGGGGACAAGTTTTATTAGTTGTATCTTATAATATTGCGTGGTTGGTTAAGAAAATAATAAACTTATGTGATTCGTTTACTTTATTGTAACTAAGAAAAAAAATATCTACCTCCCTAGATAAATATTTAACATTTTTGCGTGGTTGGTTAGAAATATTCAGTTTTATTGATTGATATCAAAGGTAAAATCCTATATGTAATTAGTTTATATATATATATAATAGAATGTTTTCTTTATCACAAGTTAATTATAAGTTATTTAACCACTATAAAATTCAAGACTTTCTAGCTAGTCGGCATAAGAACATTAGCAAAAGTACATATGCCATTGACCGCTGAGTCGCAGACAACGTGTACAACGTATCCGCATATGTCGGAAGTCGGACGAAGTAATTCTATTTCTGATCGAAACTAACAAAAACAATATCGTTATTTCCTAATTAGAACAACTATCGAGTTGACAAAATCATAACACCTGTAACTCGATAAGTATCCGACTTATATCAAATTCGATGTAGCACCAAACAAGTATCGTAGGAACATTCAAATTACAGCGAGAAAATAACTAAATATGTCATCTTTTTGTTTGTTGTCAACGAGAACGAAAAAATACACACTCTAACCACACGCACACACAAAAAAGAACTAAACATGATAATACGGTCATTGTCGGGTGATGACTTGACTTATTAATTACGACCCCAAAATTCTAGAAAATCTATTGTGACATGTGAAAATGTAAAAAAAGACACAAAAAAATGGACAGACGAGGAGTAACACAGCAAACGCGTGGCATAGAACATAGCTAGACATTGAAGACTTGAAAACTGAGAGTCAAAGTTTCGTTGATGCTGATAATTAAGATGTTTCGACCAGGTAAGGCCCAGGGGTTAAGAAGTTTTTGTTCAATTGCAACGTGTATGGTGTTTGGGACATTAACGGCGAAATGATTCATGTTGAAACACTAATCACGGCAGAGTATGAATATCCACAAGAAACAATTGATATAATATTGAAATGGGCAGTTTACATCAAGAGTTATGTAATGTTGGCTAAGTGTCTAACAAAATCATGTGATCAATACGAATCATCTGAAAGTGATTTTTTGGTAACTAGGTTTTTCGTGAAAGGAACGTATATTGGACTATTGTATTGGCTCCACATATATATTTTTGATATACGAGTGGTTTATATAGTAATTTTTTTTAGTTATGTATTATAGACTTATAGTTAACAAAATGTTGTAGATTATGATTTCGAGTTTCATATGAAATTTCTAAACATAAAGAAAGAAAGATGATAGTTGCTATATGATGGTCATATGTATTTCAAATTAGTATATTTATTGTGGACGGTTTTTGCTTCTTGTAGATAATTTTGTATGATAAAGAAAATATATATAAACAGGTCGTGCCTATGTTAGTCAATAAGAGGTATTGGCATACGGGTCCAACTTTTACAAAAGAAATAGAATGTCCAAGATTAGTAGTACTAGCATAAGTAGCAGCAATAGATTTTAGTTAAATATTGGATCCAATTTTTAACTAAAAAAAATTACAGTAATGAACTAATGACAATTTAGTTGGCCGCTTATTAACATATACAATACTTTTTTTTAATTTTTTTAAAAATCTGACAGTAAAATATATACTTCTTTGTAATATTATATATAATTCTCTATAATTTCATCTCACTATTCATAATACATTATTATTAAAACGATAGTCTAAATATTTTTTTTACCTTAGAAAAGGTGAGATCTAGTGTATCGCAGGAGATATTAAGTGACTTGGTTATCTTATCTATCGAAAGAGAGTTAGTTAAAAAATTTTATTATCTTTGAAAAATTATATTTTAAATTTGTTATCTTTATTTTTATTTTAGGATTATGATTTTTATTATTGTTTTATATGAATTGAGACGATGATAGTTATTATTTATTCAATACGATATAAATTTGTGATAATGAGAGTTTTTTTTTTAGTTCGCTTACGGGCTTCATATCTCTGGGCACGGCTCTGTATATAAAGGTGGCAGAGTTCGGTTGTGTTGTTCTTACTGATGATCAAGACAATAGAATGAATTCCGCCATCTACAGATATCATCATTGTGGGTTTTGAAATAGCAAAAGTATTTTCTTAGCAAAAAGGAAAGAGCAAAAGTCTTTGGTTTTCTACAAGTTTCAGGATATGATGAGTTTCAGCCCATAACATATCAAGGTTAACAAAATATTATTGTGATTCTTTTATTTGACTGAGGGATAAACAGTGAGGTGGGTTCAAACTTCAAAAGGAACGACATTGATCAGACAAATCATACAAATCCTGGGCCAATACGGAAACGGAACGGGCATTGGTTTTCACTTTCGGCCCATATTATATTTATCTAAGGGCCGAAATCTTAAGACAGTGTATATCGCGAGATCGTAAAATAGCATAAACTTATTTAACTAAAAACAAAAATAAAATGCATGCAATGCCATTTTTTTTCTAAAAACAAAATCAAATCAAATTCATAACATGGTGGAAAAGAGAAAGAATAATAGAAGAAAATGTTGCACGCGGGGAATAAATAGATAAAATAATAACTGAAAAGATTGTAATAATATAATATTTAGAAAAAAAGAGAAAAAAGTTGGGGAAAGAGAGGGAGAAGATCGAGAAGAGTGTGGGAGAAGGCAAACACTGACTAGACATAGACCGTTGGGCCCGACTCTTCATGCATGCATTCTTCTGACATTTTTTTAATTTCTCTAATTAATACTAAGATAACTTTTAACTTTCATTAATATTATAGTTTATGAATACTTGGGACTTGGGAGTACTAAAAAAAGTATGTAATATGCCTAAAAAATAATGATAACCTTCAATTCAAAATGCCCTCTTAAATGTTATTTTGGTCGAATGCAATTTTAAACTCCAAAGTTCAGAAATTTAATGAGGGAAGTGGTCAGGTCGCTGTTACTTTTAGGTGTCAGTCTCACTCACTCATTCAACATCGTTTCAGATTTCAGAGCAAAAGTCTCTAAAACCCAAAGCCTCCACTCAATTGCCTACTTCGAAAATTCCAGCTTCTTCTTTCAAAGCCTTCAAAGTTATCAAAATCCCCTTTTCTTCACTTTATACATTTCTCTTCCTCTTTCTTCTTGAACAATGACTAAAGATGAAGACTTTAAGCTCCTAAAAATCCAGGTACCTTCTTAATGAATACTTTCCCCACTGTCTTACCCTCGTTTTCTTTTTAACGGTGCATTAATCTTTCCATAGTATTTGTGTTGATTAATGGTTCTGTTTCTTGTAAAATACAGACATACTCCCTCAGAGTCAACATTCACTGTGAAGGTTGTAACCAGAAGGTTAAGAAACTTCTTCAGAGAATCGAAGGTTTCTCCTTTATCTCTCTCTGAAACTTTATCCACACATGCAAACATCTTTACTTACTTATCTTGGATTCTTGATGTCTGGCTTTGACCAAAACAGGAGTTTATCACGTTAAGATAGAAGCAGAACATCAAAAAGTAACCGTATCAGGCTCAGTTGACTCAGCCACACTCATCAACAAGCTCATTAAAGCCGGCAAACACGCCGAGCTCTGGTCCCCAAATCCTAACCTCAACAACCATCCTCAGAAGCCCAAGACTAATGACGTCATCAAAAACGCAAATCAAAAGGGTCAAAAGCAAGGCTCTGCCAAAACTGGCCTGGAAGCCTTCAAGCCCAAGAACAACCCTAAAGGTACCGCCTTTATGACGGAGGATGAAGATGAAGACGGCGGAGAAGAGGAAGAAGACGGAGAGGTTCAGCTACCAAAACCGGCTAATCAACAGCAAAAACCCGTCGCCAACTCGAAGAAAACCGGTGGAGGAGGAGTTCCATTGAACAATGGAAACAACGGAGTCAACGCATCCAAGAAAGTCAACCAAAAACAGAGCAGCCAAAACCAGAACAGTCAAGCAATGGCTGCGGCTATGAGGATGAGAAACGCCGGGAAAGTGAGCTCTGGTGTTGAAAGCAACGAGATTGGAGCTCTCATGGGCCTTGCTGGATTTAACGGCGCCACAAACGCTGCCGTGAATCCCCCAAATGGGATTCAACAACTTCATCAAGCTCCACCGTTGAACAACATTAACGGTGTCACTAATCAAAACCTAAACAATGGCAATGGACTAGGAGGCATGATGATGAACATGAATGGATACAGCAATCTTCATCCGATGAACATGCAGAATAGGCAGTTGATGCATCATCACCAGCCTCAACAGATGATGTACCAAAGATCAGCTTTTGTTCCAGCACCAAGCAATGGGTATTATTACAATTATACCCCTAATCCCTACAGTTATTATCCTTATTACCCTTATCCGACTGAGAAGCACCAGCAGCATCAAAGTAGTCATTCGTCTGCAACAAACTTCTCTAGTGATGAGGACACTAGCAATAACAATAGCTGCAACATCATGTAAATGTGGTTGCTTGGAAAAGAAGTTATCTTTTGTGCTTTGAGGAGCAGGGCTAGAAAGTTTCATCTTTTGTTTTGTTAATGGCTAATGTGATATATTAACAGTGTTTGAAGTTCTTTTTATCCCCTCTAAATCACCTATGGCTTCTTTTTGTGATTGTGTCATATAGCCATTTTGGATTGATATGGTAGTAAGAAATCGCAGGATGTTGTCATTCTCTTAATGGTGTGTTTGAATTTGATAACCCATTTTTGCATTGGTATGAAGTATGGTGGTAATGTTTTAGTAGTGTTACCAATTACAAAAATGGAAGCATATTAGCTAAAAAAACGTACCAGTATATTTATTTCCAACTGTTTAATGTTATCTTTAACCATTATATCTTTCTACTGAATCTGTTTTGTGTCATCACTCACCTATCTGAAATGCTTTGCGTGAAGTCTTGGTTTATGTTTGTTATCACGAGTGTAGCTAGTGAAGTTCATGAAATGCGGTTGGTGCGTTGCCACCATTTGTAGAGGAGCGTTTAGAGCGGTTGATTTTTGTCATAACGTGGTTTGTGTGTATCTCTCGAAAAGATATTCTCTCTATCCACTCAAAAGTTATTCCACCTGCTGGCTGCTTCTCGGTAGGTATCTCGTTATACGGGTCACCTAAATAATTTAATGCGCGACATGATTCGAATTTTTAAAAATTGGACTAGTAAAATCAATGTCTTAGCCAGTCATGCGTCAATCAATTTTCTGTTTAAACTTTGCGATTTATAAGATACACCGATTGATTTTTTTTTTTTTTTGGGAAATTGAGTTTTACAATCTGATTCGAACTTTGTTTTCATGTTTTGGGCCACATGAATTTTGTATATTGCCCGGGCCTAAAAATAGTACCCCAACTTGGTTTTCACAAGTATGATACATCTCCTCCAGATGAAACCAACACCGTATATATATATATATATATATATATATATATATATATATATATATATATAAATGGAGATTCTGCATAGGAACCTGCTTTTTGTTCGAAAATCCTAAGTTTTTTTTTTTTTTTTGTAAAAATGGGCGCGAAAACCCTAAGTTATATGTCTATTTTCTTTAAAGATAACTTCTGTACTGCAATAATGTTTTGATAAAGAAAAGACACATTATTTAAAAATAGTACTAAAACCGCATGAGAAACATAATCAATGGTCAAGATGATATGGTTTTATTTTATTTTTTGCCAAACTTATGCATATTAAATTTTGTATACAATATTATATGCTCTAATATATTCTATACACAGAGAAAATAAAACTTATAAAATAAAAGTTTTGATTGAGAGAATAAGAAATTATGTTAACTGAAAATTGATAAAATAAACTAATAAGAATAATATAATAGAATAAATAAGTAAAAATAAAATCTTTGCCGAAAAGTAATGGTAAGGCAGGACACCAAAATTAGAGGTATCTAAAAAACATTTGGTACAATAGCTTTACTTGATGATTGGTTATACTAATGTTAATATACAAATACAATGTGGCTTGTGCTGTTGTGCATTATTATGGATTACCAAATGAACACTTAGATGTAAAAAGAATCGAGGTTAGAATCGTGGACCCATTTTTCAAATTCCTTTCACACTTGAGTTCCTACTTTTGGCGACACGAGCCGTGAGATATGTATTATGCCTTTGTTTTTTTTCATGTGTACGAAGTTACGAACTACGGACGACGCTGTAGCGATGAGTTCAAGTAACTGGAAAAATTGCTATCTATTGTTATGAGAAAAGATGACAATGAATATACATATTATGTGCGTGACTCGATCCACCAGAAATATTATCTAAAGTCCTCTCTTAACATCAAAAATAGTTATGGATAATTTTTGTGTAAGTACCCTTTCATGAATAGTTTATTTGACAAAACAAGTGGGTTCGATCTAAATTAAATTATGAAACCTAATTTTCAAACACTTTTTGTGATGGTCTATAGTTTTACTTTTTAGAAAAATATATAATAACAGATTCAATTTGAACATGTATTTTTTCGGTCACTTGAGCTATAAGGTAATTAGGTGAATTGCTAAGGAGTCTGGGATAATAGAGCTTACGTATTTATAAAATCTATTATATAAAGACTCAGTTAAGTTTCACAAGCTTGACACTTGCATTTATTTTTTTGACACATCAAACTAAAAAAAAATTATGAGAAAATCAAACAATTAAATTATACTAATTTCATTTTTAATTGAACACAAAATCCAAAAGATAAGTACATATCAATTTATGGTTCATAATAAACTGCAAATTAGTTTTATTTTGGAAATTGGAAAGATAGAATCTCAAACAATCTCCAATACTTTCTAATATCGACTCAAAATTCCACAAGTCAATAGGTAAAATTTTTTATTCTTTGTCTCCTCTTTAATTTATGGGGTTTTGAAAATTGTATTATATTTCTTGTATTGAATTCATTCTGGTTTTGTTTACATAGACATTGATTCATTTTCTTTGTATAAAGATATATCCACCGATGACAACCCTACCACTGGGACAAAGGATTGAGACTTGAAGTCTCGGGCAGAAAACAAAATACGATTTGGCGAAGATATTAAATTTGTCTTACAAAATATATATTTTTATCATTAAAAATTAACTAACAAACAAAAAAAACAGATTGAAAAAAATAATAATAAAGATATATATGGTTAGGTACAAAAATAAAAAGTATTACATCTACAAAAAATAATGACTACATTTTTACGAGTTCATATCATATTCATATTACCAAATTTTTTGCAAAAAATTAGATTAAACTTATAAAAAATGTCTATTAATAAATTATATTAAAACAAAAAAATCAAATTTAATGACTATATTTTTACAAATTTGGATGATATTTTATATTATCAAAAATAAAAAAATAAATTAATTTTGTAGAAAAATAGAATTTTATAATGTATATTAAAACAAACAAAACACCCACATGTACACACAGGTATTCATCTAGTATATATAAAAGTAAAAACTATTAACGTTAACTCTGGTATGGATTTATTAATTTGTAAGTTTTACGAGATTTAAAGCAATAATCTGACCTATAATATATTTGGCTATAATAACAAAAACAAATTTCTTAATTTATTAGTTTTACGAGATTTATATATTTTGCTTTTATTATTAATTATAGCCAATTTTTTGTATTTTTCTCATAACTGTTCGCTTTCGATGCCATTATATTTGTAATTATATATATGTCGCCTACTAGCTTTTTCACCTGTGAAGGTGAAGCCCATACGAACATTTTTATTTTAAAAAACAAAATTAAACAGAGATTCTGATCTCAGAGTCTTAATGACTTGGAACTGATAACCGACAACCAAACTAACGAGTTTACGATCTATTCTCGATCACAAATTCATTGTTATACTAAATTAACCTAACTACCTACCTCGAAGACAACTAATGCAAATATATAAAGATGAATCTTCGAGTTAGGCTCACATTTATCATTAAGCTTATTTTTTTAAGAGTTTTTCACTAGTAACAACTTTAAGCTTTGCATAATCTGTGCAACTTTCATTAAATGCGTACTTCCGAAAAATCCGATACATAAAGACTAAAAGCATGAAATGAATTTTCATAAAATATATAGAGATAAACAGAAAAACCCAAAATAAACAGATTGAAAAGAAAGGTCATTCAATTGAATAATTAAAAAGGAAAATGACATCTGCACACCATGCAAACTATTTGAAAAAAAAAGAGAGTAAAAGTTATACTTCAAATTAGACTAATGATAGAATAAAGATGTAAAAATCTCCTATACTGTGGAATAAGACTTAGGGCTGTGAACCATAGACCACCACGTTTTCTCAAAGACACACCCTCCTATATATATCTCTATCTAAATCTAATGATCAAGAACTTAATTTCTCTGTGACGAAGTCAAATAATTTACTCGCACAAACACATACACACACATAATTTACTTGAGTTTGTCAGAAATGGAATCTTTACTGTGTCGGAGGAGGAAAAACATAGCCATGGTGCTAATAATAACGTTGACGTGGCTCGGTGGCACGTGCGGGGAACTCGAGGAACAACTATTCGAAGTTGGGAAGCTTAAGATGTTCGTTGACGACCTCCCAGATATGCCCAGGCTCCGTGGCTTCCACTCTGTTCATGGCGTCCTCAAACCCATTTCTCTTCAAATCGGCATGTTCTACACCAAATGGGTATATTCTTCTTTTCCTCATTCAACATTTTTTTTTCGTTTTTTGAAAAGAATCATCTGGTTAGATTCTTCTGGATTGGTGAGAATAATCGTATTTCACTTGTTTACGGCTAATCGTTGATAAAATAAAATGATAAGATTCGTTTATGTGTTTACTCTTGACCCTACGTAATCCTCTTTACAGCTCTCTTAAGACAAAGAGTTTCAGCCTATATATTGTCCGAGGCCCGAAATTCCAACTCATTTTTATTTCCTACGAAGAGTTTTGACTAAAAGCAAGAAATTTAAGAAACTACATATATGACACTTGAAAACATATAATTTCTAAAAATAATTTAAAACAGTGCAAAAATACAAATAGTTACGAAAAGTAATTAAGTAATATATAAAAAATCTCTTTTAACGTGTTATAAGATGAAATGCAAGAAATATTTTCTAAGTAGTTTGCAATAGTGTGGTTGATGATGTGGCTTTAATTTAAATCTATGATATTTTTATATGCGCACAGAAATTCCATAGAGATTTGCCTCCGACGCCTGTGTTTGCATACGGTACATCGCGGAGCAGAGCAACAGTTCCTGGTCCAACAATCGAAGCCGTCTATGGAGTAGACACATACGTGACGTGGCGAAATCACCTCCCTTCATCTCACATACTCCCTTGGGACCCCACAATCTCCCCCGCCACCCCCAAAACCGGTGGAATCCCAACGGTGGTCCACTTACACGGCGGAATCCACGAACCGTCCAGCGACGGGAACGCCGACGCATGGTTCACCGTCGGTTTCAGAGAAACCGGACCGAAATGGACCAAAACGACGGCGCATTACGAGAACAAGCAACAACCTGGTAACATGTGGTACCACGACCACGCCATGGGTTTGACCCGAGTCAACCTTCTCGCCGGTTTATTAGGCGCCTACGTACTCCGCCACCACGCCGTCGAATCTCCTCTCCGGTTACCCACCGGCGACGAATTCGACCGGCTGTTGGTCGTTTTCGACCGGAGTTTTCGTACCGACGGTTCGATTTACATGAACGCCACCGGGAACAACCCGTCGATTCACCCGCAGTGGCAACCGGAATACTTCGGCGATGCGATCATCGTCAACGGAAAAGCTTGGCCGCGATTATCCGTTCGCCGCCGGAAATACAGATTCCGCATTATAAACGCCAGCAACGCCAGATTTTTCAGGTTCTTCTTCTCCAACGGTCTCGATTTCGTCGTCGTGGGCTCCGACTCGGCGTATTTGTCGAAACCGGTGAAGACCCAATCAATCCTCTTGTCTCCGTCGGAAATCGCAGATGTTATCGTCGATTTCTCGAAATCGCGGTCGCGTACGGCGGTGCTCGCCAACGACGCGCCGTATCCTTACCCTAGTGGTGACCCAGTCAACGAAGAAAACGGCAAGATCATGAAATTCATCATCAACGGTGAGTCTGAGGCTGACACGTGTACGATTCCGAAGAAGCTTATAGATTATCCGTCTGCTGACGTGTCAAACGCCGTTCTTACGCGTTACATAGCTATGTATGAATACGTCAGCGACTCGGACGAGCCAACTCATTTGTACGTTAACGGCTTGCCTTATGATGCACCTGTCACGGAAACTCCAAAATCAGGAACCACCGAGGTAATTAACTGTCTATATAATTCGAATTAATTACGTAAAAATTTGAAGGTTTAGTAATTACTAATCATTATGAGATTTCAAAGGTGTGGGAAGTGATTAATTTGACGGAGGATAACCATCCGTTACATATTCATCTGGGACTGTTCAAAGTGGTGGAGCAAACGGCGTTACTAGCTGCGGGATTGGAGGAGTTCAAGGAGTGTATGACGGAACTTAATGACGCCGTTAAGTGCCAGATCAGCAAATACGCACGTGGGAAAAAAACGGCGGTGACGGCACACGAGAGGGGTTGGAAGAACGTGTTCAAGATGATGCCGGGACATGTTACGAGGTTACTGGTTCGGTTTTCTTATATACACACTAACGGATCTTACCCGTTCGACCCGACACAAGAACCGGGTTATGTCTACCATTGTCACGTAAGTAGGAGAGTTTTGAAGATTCTGAAATTGGTAATCAAGTGATCAAGTGATTTTTAAAACAACATATGATTTTGCATTGCAGATATTGGACCATGAGGACAATATGATGATGAGGCCGCTTAAGGTCATCGAGTGATGTATGTCTAAGTCTAATTATGTTTCCCCCTACAAGGTTTTTGATAGTGCAATGTAACTCATCAAAATATACAAACGAATTATATATGATATGGGGCTAAATCATAAAATGAAACCCATTGAGAATGTAATATAATCTTTACCTTTATTAACCCTTTGTAATAAGAGTGCCAAAACTTTAGTATTGGGCTATGTTTAACAAATCATTTTTTTTTTCTACATTTGTATGGTTTTTAGGTTTGAAATCAGAAATCTGAAGACTGAAGTTCATTTTCACTTCGGAAACAGTCTCATTAGCACTTCGACTACATAAAACTTCAAGCCCAAAGTATGAAAGCCCTAAACTGATAACAAATTTTAAAGCCTGATATATAAGGAGCAAGCTTTCTTACTAGAAAACCACCATCTACCTAATTTATTTTTTGGTCATCATCTGATATTCTGACTAATCGAAACTCAAATATACAGACAACACACAAACTGAAAAATCAACATGAAGTCAACACTTTTTTTTTTTCTATTGCACATATTTTTTTCGTTTTTTTCTACAAGACACGAATTTAATTATTAGATATACACGATACCGTTGATTGTCAAGTGGGGTCTTGCAAGTGGTTCATCGTGTTTCATTCATGACTTTGCCTATATCTCTATATCTGGAGCACGAACAACGAATTCTCTGTGTCGAACGAGATATTTTGGAAGTCATTAAATAGCTCTTGTTGTCATTTGTCGATTTATTGTTATTTTTGTATGTTTTTGATAGCTTACGGAAAATGATTTTGTTATTGCATTTGATATTGGACACAGTGTTGCTATTATGGAATAATTAGGAGTTCTTCCCGACCTGCTTGAGATTGCCTCGTCACTGTTATTTTAACGACTGTATATATTGTACGACCTTGAGTACTAAGTAGGAAAACATCAATCTCATTTGCTTTTCACCAATCTATGTACATTTATGATTTGGGTTGTCACGTTCGTGTAATTAAATGAAAGGGCGTTAAATTCATGTAGATTGGGAGTTTTACTAGTCTAGTCCTGGGTACTTTCTAGAGTTCTGTTTTCTAAATCTTTGTCACCTAAACATGAGTGATGAAAAGGAAAATGGTACAAACTTTCAATTTTGTATGAATAATAGAGAAGATTACCTACCCTAAGATAACCTTAATTTTAAAAAAAATAAAACATAGCTAGAACTAGTATATCAATTAGTGTTCGAACTAAAAACTACGTGGAAAGTAATTGTATTGCGTATGAGGCTGATACTATATCAATTAGTATGACTAAAAAAACGTGGTGTAATTATGTAGAACAATCAAATAAAATAGACCAGGACAAGTACCATAATGGTTTGTGTTAATGCTGTCGATATATCACCAATCACAGCGGTTTGTGTTTAGTGTTGTGGATGTATTCACAATCACACTTATGTTTTAGCTTGTATAGGGCATGTTGTTGATAAAAAAAAAAGTAAATAATATACAGAATTTCAACAATAGTGATTAGAGTTCAAACCAACATTGCTAAAAGTTGTGACATTCTGTTCGATCAGTCCCAAATCTAAGTGAACAAATGACTAATAAGAAACATTTTGGAATGGTTTTGCTGACGTGCGATAGTTCGTGAAAGTCGACTGTCATAACGCACAATGATCGAGTTCGTTTTTGGGAACAAATCAAATGAGATAAGGTTCCAATTATCAAATGATTTTGTAAAGAGATAAGTATGATTTGGACTTTGGAGGGTGAGTCTTTCTTAAAATTACCTCTTTTTTTTACATCTAATCTTAAAATTACTTTTTTTATTTTCATACGAATTTACAGATAAATTGTTTTAAACAAAAACGAAATAAATTTAAACAAACCATGAAAAATACATACTCCAATCAATGATTGATGATGATAATCTTTAAAAATTTCATAATTGCTTCCGGCCAGAACAAACAGGTAACTAATTCTAAAATATTAAGGTCCATGTATTTATTAGATTGACCCATTCTGTTTATATATTATAAAAACCCATTATAATTTATTTTAAAAAAATAAAAACAGATGATAATATAAAGTCGGCTTTACAACGAAGCAAGAAAAGAAAATGTAATTAATTAAAGCGTGTGTGTGGTTCACTTCCATTATATGTTTTGGTTGCATTATAAACCATAATATTCCACAAGCCAACTGTATCCTCCTCCTTGTCGTCGTCTTCTTCTCCTACATCACACACCGCCAATCTCGCTTGCTTTTTTTTTGTTTTCGTATATTTTATTATATTTTTCAGCACTTATTTATTTATCTACTCATTCGTACTAATTTGAAATGAAATAATAGAGTATTTGCATTATATGATTATGAGAATGGGTATATAAAGAGTGCATTTTTTATATTTTTGGCGATTATTATGATTTTTATTTAATTTGTACAAACATAATTTTTTTTTACTATATCATGTTATTTTACACGTAAACACCCCTTTTTAATCAAATTGAAGTTATAGACCAATTTTAATTTTGTTATTTAAATGTTGTAAATTTTCATTTTATCATATAAACATAATTTTAAATTTTCATTTTATCATTTAAAAATATAATTTATTATTGTAAACATTGTCTATAAATAGTTATGCATTCATTGTATAATGATATAATAGCAAATGAATATATATAGAAATAACATTCTAGCTGTACTATTTTTTTCCTGATAAATATTTATTTCTGTCATTTTCCAAATAAAAAATATTTAATTATATATTTACCTAATTAATTTTAATAAATAATCGTTGGGTAGCAAAAAGAAAAAGAAATGGACTGAGAGTCTTCTTAGACGTAGGCCCTCTAAAACGGTGCCGTAACAGCGACCTCTCTCTTGACAAAAATGGTCGCGTGGATAAATAAAAGCGATGTTAGTCGCTTCTGAGCAAAGAGCGAATCCCAAGTTGATTTATTCCTCTTCTTTTTTTTGTTGGTTTCTCTGTTCTCTTTTTTATTCTCCGATTAACGGAGGTTGATCGGCGTAATGGCCGGAGTAATCATCTCACCCGCCTCTCTGCTCGATCTTATCGCCGAGATTGTTGAGATGCCAGTAAACTCCGGCGTGTTTAAGAAGGATTGCGCGGATCTCACTCGGCGAGTCTGTCTCTTGACGCATTTGGTAGAGGAGATTAGAGACTCTAAGCCGATCGATTCCGCCGCTTCTTCTTCGTTGGTCTCGTCGGAGAATGATTGGTGGTCTGATCTCGTGGCGGGGGTTCAAGCCGCGAAGCGTCTTCTGTCCTCAGTCACCCGATTCCAAGCTCGCGACTCCTCCGTAAGCAAAATCTAATGACTACATTTTTTGTTCGAGACCATTCAGATTACGAATCCTTGGCAAAATTTACTGAGAGAATCCAGCCATTAATTGCACATTACAGTGTGTTTGTTTGCTGTTCTTCGATTCTAATCGCATTAATTTCCCAGATTCAGATTTTCAAATCCTTCGTGAATGTAGCTCGTAATTAGGAATACTGGTTTATTATCGGTTAAATGTATTTGAACCCCTGATTATAGTCCGGTTTGGTTAACCGTTGATATTCTCGATTGAAGGATGGTGCTGCGATGCCGAAGAGAACCTCTTTCCAGTTCCAATCCGTTGCATGGAGGCTGGAGAAAGCATTGAGCAATCTTCCATACGATCTATATGAAATCTCTGACGAAGTTATAGAACTGGTAAAATCTCATATGCACAATTGTATATTTCGTCCATGATTGGGGTTTTGATATGAAGATACATTTTTTCTAGTTCTCGGAGTTTTAAGCGGTTTCCTGACTGTATATCCAGGTGGAGTTGGCGAGATCGCAGTTTGGAAGAGCAATGCAGAGATATGGGTCATTGAATTCGGATAATTTCTCGTGTGCTTTATCTGAGCCAATGGAGTGGGACGCTTTTAGCAATATAAAGATCAAAACTGAGGAAGAAAAGCTTGAGAGTGTTTCAGAAACAGTTCATTTTGCTGAGGAGAAGAAACAGCTGCGGAAAAGCTCTTCCATTTCTTTGGCTTTCTACTTATCGAAGGATGCGGATACCGATAGATTAGACAAAATGGTCACCAAGAACACTGACGAATCGAAGAAATCTGACAAACTCACGATTCCAGTCGATTTTCTTTGTCCGGTATCTCTGGAACTGATGAAGGATCCTGTTATTGTCGCCACAGGACAGGTCTGATTTCAAGATATATAGTCTTTTTTAAATACTTTTTTCTACTCTCGTTGCTTGGTTATTGATAATTCTCATTACATTGTCAGACTTACGAGAGGGCTTACATACAGAGATGGATTGACTGTGGGAATCTAACATGTCCAAAGACTCAGCAGAAACTGGAAAACTTTACGCTTACTCCCAATTATGTTCTCAGAAGCTTGATCTCTCGGTGGTGCACTGAACACAACATTGAGCAACCCGCAGGTTACGTCAACGGCAGGTCAAAAAACCGTGGAGACATGGCTGTGATCAGGGCATTGGTTCAGAGACTCTCAAGCCGGTCCACGGAGCTACGCAGGAACGCGGTTTCTGAACTCCGGTCTTTGTCAAAGAGAAGCACAGACAATCGCATTCTGATTGCACAAGCAGGAGCGATCCCTGTTTTGGTCAACCTTTTAACCTCAGAGGACGTCGCAACTCAGGAAAACGCAATCACCTGCGTTCTCAACCTCTCTATTTATGACAACAACAAAGAGCTTATAATGTTTGCTGGTGCAGTCACATCCATTGTTCAAGTCCTAAGAGCCGGAACCATGGAAGCAAGAGAAAACGCAGCAGCGACACTCTTTAGCCTTTCGTTAGCCGATGAGAACAAGATCATAATAGGCGGATCAGGTGCAATACCTGCCTTAGTGGATCTGCTCGAGAACGGGACTCCAAGAGGGAAGAAAGACGCAGCCACGGCTCTGTTCAATCTCTGCATTTATCAAGGGAACAAAGGCAGAGCGGTTAGAGCCGGTATAGTAACTGCATTGGTTAAGATGCTAAGTGACTCGAGCAGCCACCGGATGGTTGATGAAGCTTTGACAATACTCTCTGTTCTCGCAAATAATCTTGACGCGAAATCCGCGATAGTAAAGGCGAATACTTTACCAGCACTGATAGGTATTCTCCTAAAGGATCAAGCTAGAAACCGAGAGAACGCAGCAGCGATATTGCTTTCGCTGTGTAAGCGAGACACTGAGAAACTGGTCTCTATAGGTAGGCTTGGTGCGGTTGTGCCATTGATGGATCTATCGAAGAACGGAACAGAGAGAGGCAAAAGGAAAGCGATTACTTTGTTAGAGCTTCTTCGTAAAGCATGCCAATAATAATTAGTGGTCTGACAAAATTATTAAAAAAAGGTTCGTCAAGCTCTCATATTTTTGGAAAAATTGGCTGGCTATTTGTTTGATTATGTTAATATTTTGTTAAAATTGATTTGATTTTTTGCTGGGATACTAATTCCATTTGTGGAACCGGATTTGGAGATGGTGAGCCAAAAGGGTTTTCGAGAATCGAACTCTTTTTTTTGGTTCGCTGTGTATTTATTTGTTACATTTGTAATAAAAATGGTAAAGAATAAGTATTGAAATTGATCCTTTTATTTCTGGTTCATGTTCTCCATTATTGTTCAATGTCAACTCAAAAACTTTTGGATATACTATCAGTACATTACATATGATGATGATATGACGAATGACTTACTTCACGGAATCTGTTCACGTGAAATTGGTTTGGTGACTCTTCTGATCAACATTCCTTTTCAAGAGAAGCAACAGTTAAAAATTACCTTCAAAAGAAATGAATTTGCTGGATTATTCGTTAAATGTCAAAATTTCAGTTGCTTCGGTAGGCAAGTAGAGACCACATGTCCCTAATAAACCGGCGTGATTACCGGAGGTGTCAATTTCTTCGCTGGAGGTATCAAACTATCAATTACGGGTACTTCACATAATGGTCAGGTGATGAAAATGACGGATTAAAGAATTCAATGATTAAAATTATTTTGACAATAATTCTATGCTTTTTGTGGTTGTTTGAAGGTTTCTTCAACACCGAAAGCGAAATGAGTCATATTAGTCTTTCTCATTGCTTTGTGGTTTTTGTGTTGGATTTGACTTTTTGTTACCAAATTGGTATATTATATCATCTTCAACCACCCATTAATCCCGCATTTTTTAAAGGGGGTGGTTAACTTGGGAAGCAAGAAATCAGACAGGTCGAAGATTAGTCTGAAGGGCATCAAGAAGGTCAGAGCCAGATCACTTTGAGCCTCACAACAACTTGGTAATCCAAATGGCTTTATTTCATAGCTAAGCAATATCAATTTGCATATTACTAATGAATAATAAGTTTTAATCCTGTTTATATCCCCAAAGTGCAAATCAATTGAAGAGTTATTAAGAGTCGAACTACAACGAGATTGAATAACACACCAGAAAATATAGAATACAAAAAACTACTTAAAAACAAGCAAATGATTTATTAGGAATGCACAATATCACCAAGGCTTAGCTGAGGAATCTGAGGAACCAACATGACAACATCCGAGCCTCACCAGGCATGTGAGATGCCGAAGAGATGCATTTATAGGCATTAAACCGACAATTAGCTGCAACATTTGTGAGAAATTCCTCATCGCATTCGATACGTGGAATGATCTAAACCTTGAGAAATCTTTTTGGGTCCCATCTCGTGCCCGTAATGCTGAATTAAGTGGATGAGCACGTAATGGCCTCAGAGGAGGAGAACTAAGCGAATTTTTTTTTCATATATCTGAAACTGTCTTAGTTTTCTCAATGTCTTTGTTATCAAAATTACTAATATTTACTGATCTACAAAATAAAATTTCCATATATTATTAATCGAAGTCTTCCATAGGCCCAACCTTTTTCTTTTATCCTTAAATAAACTTGTTGGCGCAGATAAAATTATATTGGTTTACTCTTCAATAACGGGCCAAAGCCTCAAAATCCTATTCGCAGGCCAACTTTGCGTCTTTGGAATATCATTTTACTTGGTCACTATCTATGAACCGGCATCTAAACGATGCACCACTTTTTATAATCAATTTTTGGACCAATATAGACTTAAGATTCTCCGTTGCATGTTCGATGTCCAATTGGCCACGAAAACCAGTTCTCTCTTGTTATATATATTTTTTTACGTACTACGCGGTTAAATTTTCTGACACGAATTATTGTTCAATCATACGAAAGTATATATATATATATATATCCATTTTTCTCAATCATACGATACCATAAGAAATATTTTCCGCTATTCTCTCTTTAATGTAATTGAACAACTAAAGCAAAGTTCCTTCAAAAGCAATCACTTACGCGTTAAGCAACTACACGCACTCGCATATATACGGTTATACTGCCATATAACTTTTATTAAAGGATTGCTTTCAAAAATATATTATACATAATTTTTCAAGATCATAGACCATTAATAAAAACAAAATTACGGATTTGAATTTTCAATTAATATTTTTTAATATATATTAGTGTTAGTTTTATGCTTTTGTTTTTGGTGGACGACGGTGGGATTTTTTAATCACTTTTTAATTTCACAACTTAAAAAACTTCATGACGAGGAAAATTGAAATAGCTCATGTGAGCCCCACCTCACATGAAAAATCCAAACACTTCGTGGACCGACGAGTACTCCTTAACCAACCGTAGTCTTAATTTTCTTATTAGTATTCATACTAGAGTATATACCTATTTAATTATTAAAAATAAGACTAGAAGTTTATAGAAATAGTGTACACTATTTAATAAGTCTATTGAGTCCCATGCACTTAGCTTAGCTTACGTAACGAGAACGCATTCATCATCACCTCTCATTTTCACGTCTCCTCTCTTAACTCTTTACTCTCTAACTCTTTAAGCGTATTATCTCCACAAACTCTCTTTTTTTATTTCTCTTTCGATTCAAAAGTCATCGATCACAAACATGCCGGGAAATTCACACCGCCGGGGATCCGACGAGTCAGTCCTCTTCTTCACGGTGATGATCACGTTGCTGACGTGTCCGATAGTCATCAACGCATCATCATCATCAGATTCTTCTTTAGCTAGCAGGAAGCTCGAGGAGGTCGATCCCATAAAGTGCTCTCCAAGCTGCATCCAAAACCCTCCTCCGCCTTCTCCACCACCACCATCTCCGCCGCCTCCGGCATGTCCACCTCCTCCGGCTCTCCCTCCACCGCCTAAGAAAGTCTCACCAAACTGCCCACCTCCGCCGCCGGCTAATTTCTTGTACATAACAGGTCCACCGGGAAATCTCTACCCCGTTGATGAGCAGTTCGGAGCGGCCGCCGGAAAAGGTTTTACGGTGGTGAAGATCTCCGGCCTAATCGGGTTTGGAATTATGGGTTTCTTGATTCTTTGAAACATGTTGGGAGGAGAAAAAAAAAGTGAAGATTTGTGAGTATGTCCTCAATACTTTTTAATTAGTTATTGATCGTTGGTTAATAATTTTTCTAACTAGGATTATATAAGTTTCATCATATCTTCCTATATCCAAATTTTCTAGTGGTTGTTAAAAATCAGATTAATAAGGTGTGTGTGTGCCGCATACGTAGACCAAAATTCTGTTTAGGGAAATATGTGAATTCTTGAAATGTATTCTCTTTATGTGATTTATGTTCTCTTTTCTGTGTCAACTTGACGTTCGAATTGATTCTCGTCGAATCTGGAAAGTTTACTTTATACGGAATAGTTTCATACAAAAGCAAATTATGCTTAACAAAGCTAACTAGCTAACAAATGTACAGTTAAACTTATCCGAAAAAAAAAAACAAATATGTACGAAGTTAAAAGGTGGGTGATGAAAAGACTTTTGTTCTTTTTGGTTTTACTTTTTTTTTTTTTGTTGTTAAAGTTCTTTTTGGTTTTACTCTTCACGCTTCTACGTATTTTGTTGTTTTACATTTATAATTTACGGTTAGCTTTACCGTTATTAAAAAAAGAAATTGTCTCCTGTGATAACACAAGACGGACCGGTATGTCTTAATTTAAGTAAAGTAAATTACATGAGTTGACCAAAATATATATTGGAGAGGAATGAAAACACGTGTCAAAGGTAAAAACACGTGTCGATGATCTGATGTGAGAGAGAGATGGAGAAAGGAGATCAACTTGGGTTTCAACAAAAAATGGGCCCTTGACGCCGACGGCCGACCTCAGACATGACATGTGCTGATGTGCATTTGTTTCGCCTAACGCTATATTCTCCACCAAATCCATCTCACCTACGTTTTTACTTCTTTTTCTTTTCTTCATACATAATGAATGATAATACCGAGTATTTACGAGTGTAGTATTTAAATTTTAGATTCGAAAAGACTAGAAAGACAGTGTATATATATCTACATAAGAAACTGATATATATACTACACTAAGTGTAGTATTTAAATTTTAGATTCGAAAAGACTAGAAAGACAGTGTATATATATCTACATAAGAAATTGATATATTTGGATTATATATTTTTAAAGGGAAAATCACATAAAAAACTTTCAAAGTGGCAGCGACTGACACTTTAAACCTCGAAGGTTTATAACTAGCATTTTAAACCTTCAACGTAGGAAGTTTAGCATATCAAACCTTGAAGGTGGTTCTTTGTTACGCGCCGCCAAATTTTTCAACGGAATAGTTAACTCCGTTAACGGCTTTCCTAATTCCATCGAGAATTCATAATTTTCCGTTTTCTGATTTCGAAAACGTGATTAAACTAAATAAAAAAGTAATTTCTGTAATTTATTTAATTAAATAAATCAATTAATCAAATAATTATATAACAATAATCCAGCATAAAAAAAAAGGCCGTTAAATCCAGAAATACCCAATTCGATTTAGGGTTCTTCCTTCGTAAAAAAAAAAAAATTCTGAAGCAAAGCGATTGAGAGAAGTAAATCGTGAATCAAGTTGCTTAATCTGCTGAGCTGTGAATCGATACTAGAATTTGAGCTTTGGGAGCTTAATTTTAGTGCTGGCACCAAATCGAAATGAGGTAATTAAATGTTTTCAGGATTTTTTCCGATTTTCATTTGTGGGTTAAGGGTTAATTACCATAACTTTCGGTTTCAATTCGTGGGTGTAAGGTTATTAAACATAGTTTTCCGATTTGAATTGTGGGTGTTGGGTTTATGAACCGAAACCATTATCTCGGGTTGGTGTGTGACGAATCTGACTTCGTTTGCTTTTTTTACAGTCAAAATGGGAGACTCAAACTCGTAATCCCCTATGGTGGTAGTGTGAAGAAAGAAAATGAAGATTACAAGTACATTGGTGAGTTGGGTTGCGTGGGTGTGATCTGGAAAGTGTCTGAGATTAGTTGGCAGAAATTTCAATTATTTCTCGGTGACCATCATGTCGGTGCACCAATGGTTTTGATTTGGTACAAAGAGCTAAATGATGAGATGAAGAAGTTAGAATATGTGTTTGGCCACACAAATGAAGATATGCATGAGCTAATTTTTGTAGGATTAGCTTCTGGTTTTTTAGAGGTCTTTGTTGAACATGATTGCTCAGAATCTATTCCTGGTGTCATATATCTTCCAAGTAGTCAGCAGGAAGATAGTAGGAATTGTGTGAATGATGCTGATGATGAAGATGGCAACAATTGTGAAGATGATGAGAAATCTGAGGAGGGTAATGATAGTGATGTTGAAGACGATGGAAATGAGGCTGACGAGGAAGACAATGATGATGATGATGATGACGAGAGGCCAAGAGAATATGAAGAAGGTGAGAAATCTGAGGATGAAACACCTGCTGATGAAAATGCAAACGAAGAAGTGGCAAAGCAGAATGAGGTTGATGACGGAGATGAGGTTGTTGTAGATGCAGGAGATGGTGCTACTGATGAGAGGTTTAAGGTTCTCTTTGAGGAAGGTGAGAGAATTAAGAAACCACATAGCCAGCAAGAAGAAGAAAAGGACGACGCAGCGAGAGAAGCAGAGGAAAGTGATGATGACTACAAAAAATATATGAGAGGGGATGCGGAGTATCCAGACACTCCATTATCATCAGATGAGGAATGGGATCGCTGGGCTGATAAGAAAAGAGCAAGAAAAAGAAAACAGTTTCATGGAGATTTTGAGAAGCCATCATATCTGTGGTTATTTCAGAAGTTTAACAGTGGGATGGAGGTGAAAGACCAGCTTCTGCGTTACTCACTAAACACGCAGTATGACATCAAAATGGCTAAGTCTGAAGCATCTAGAATAGCCGCCATTTGTTGTAAAGAGAAATGCAATTGGAGAGTTTTCTGTTCGGTTGAGGTTCCTTTGAACAAGTGGATGGTGAAGGTTTGTCACAATGAGCACAATCATGAGAAATCAAGTAGAGTCTCTATGCTTAAGCAAGGTGTCATAGCAGGGTTGTTTAGAGAGGAAATAAGAAGGAATATCAACTTACCAGCAGCAGAGATAAAAGACACAATCAAAGAAAAGTATAACATTGTTGTTCCAATGTCGAAGTGCTATAGGGGGAGGAGAATTGCTTTGGACTCAATCCTGGAAGCTCAAACAATACAATTTGGTAAGTTATGGGATTACCAGGCTGAGCTCACGCGAAAGCATCCTGACATAACCACCGAGTTATCCACGGTGCCTGAAGGACAGATGTTTGACTGTTTGTACATCTGTTTTGCTGAATTTGCTCGATCTTGGAAGAATAATTGCAGACCGGTTATAGGTTTAGATGGGTGCTTCTTGAAGTGGGAATTAAATGGAGATGTCCTTGCAGCTGTTGGTAGAGATGCAGACAATAGAATGTTTCCAATTGCTTGGGCAGTGGTTCGTGGTGAGAACAAGGATACTTGGGGTTGGTTTATTAGGAAACTCAAGGCAAACCTTGACTTGGGATTAGGAGACAGTTTAACTATCATTTCTGACAAGCAAAAGGTAAAATTATGACTTTTTAAGAAGGCTTTCTAAGTGTTTACATTTCTTAATCATGTGTTCAAATGTATTGCAGGGACTTGTTATTGCCGTAGGGGCTGAGCTTCCTAATGCAGAGCATCGTATGTGTGCAAGGCATATATATGCCAATTGGAAGAAGACTTTCTCAAGGTCTGAATATAAAAATCTTTTTTGGGGAGTTGCTTACAGGTACAATGTAAGAGAATATAATGAGAAGATGGCGATGGTAGAAGCATATGATCCAGCTGCACATGCGTCGTTGTTGTCACAAGAACCACACAAATGGTGTAGAGCCTTCTTCTCTCTAGAGTCACGCTGCCATGATGTCCACAACAACTTGTCTGAAGCTTTCAACAGAACAATCAAGATAGCTAGATCGAAGCCTGTGCTTAGCTTGTTGGAGGATATCAGAAGACAAGCAATGAGAAGGATCTCAAGGAGACAACTAAAAGCAGCTAAGGTAAACACAATACTGACACCGATCACTATGGGAATTCTAGAGAAATCACGGGTGGACAACAAATATTGCTCAACACTCCGCAGTAGTTCTACTGAGTATGAAGTTCAGGAGTTTGATTGCAGCTACACAGTTAACACAAGTACCCACCAATGTGCTTGTAGACGTTGGGATCTAACAGGTGAACTTTTTTTTTAACTCTTTGTTTTCATGAATTATTGTTTTTTATCGTGTGCTCAATGTCTTTGATTACAGGTATTCCCTGTAGGCATGCAATATGTGTTCTTGATGACAATCAAGAATCCCCTGTCAACTATGTGTCTCATTATTACTCTACAAGTCTTATGAAAGCCACATACGCTGAGAACATTAAACCTATGAATGGTGAAAAGCTATGGCAGAAGGTACATAAGCCTCCAATCCTGGTTCCAGAGTTTCGAAAGCCACGAGGGAGACCTAAAACCCGTGATAGAAGAAAAGAACCATTTGAAGACCTCCAAAACAAGGGCAAAGTAACCAGACATGGGAGGACAATGCACTGCAGCAACTGCGGTGAGGCTGGACATATTAAGAGTGGATGTAAAAATGAGAAAGTTGTTGTGGAGGGACCTAAAAACAGAAGAGGCAGACCGCGTAAGAATCAAGATGATGTAAGTGTCTAATTCTTTAATTTGGTTACATTTTTTGTGTTGTGTAGTTAAATCATAATTCTCTGGTGAGACTTTTATCAGGTTGTCCCTAAAAGACCAACAAACCCAAGGAAAAAGAGGAAGACTACTAAAGCTGTTTCAAGCTCACAACTATTGTTGCAAGGAGAACCAGTTGATGTATTCCCTGCTGCATCTACTGCTCCTGAACCATCGGTCCCTGCCAATAAGAAAAAACCCCGAGTTAAAAAGCCTAACCGTGGAAGACCATTACAGATAAAGAAGTCCGACAACAATCATCGAGTGACTGCAACACTAATGAGTCCTTTCACTGACGGATCATTTGATGTCTTCAAGCACAGTGCTTCTCGATCGCAGCCTCCTTCGGAACCCCATTGACCTTGTTTTGCCTGTTTGTTTTAACTGTTTTTGGTCTTTGATGAATTTGGTTATCTTTGTTTTTTTTTCGTTTTTGGTATGCATGTGTTTTGGTTGAGACTGCTTTTGTCGTTTTGGAATGCTATCATTTTGTTTGAACCTAATTGATGATGGATTACCTTTATGAATGTTTGTTTTGGATATCAGAGTCTATATTCTTTCATATAACATAGGTACCTCAACTTCATATAACATAGATATTCTACTTCAACAAACAAACTGAAACATAGACAGGTCTTTCAACAACAACTTCAAAGGTTTTAAACTAAACTTAAAACATACCAAAGACCCACAAACGTTATATTAAAGCCAAAAGGGGAAGACCTAAACACACATTACACTAACACGAACTCTAGAGCTTTGACATGGCAAACATGACTCCCAATGCCACTGTAAAGCCAATCGTTGAAGACAACAGGACATTGCGGTAAATGGTGCTTCTCTCGGTGAGTACCAACACCTCTCCCTTCAGCGCTTCACACTCTTGATGGGTTTTCATCAACTCATCCTCCAGATGACTTGGATTTTCGATCACATGTTCGATCTCACGGCTTGGTTCCCTTTCCACTTTCTTGAACTTCATAATTTCTTCTTTCAGGTCACGGATAACATCTCTCGCCTCCAGCAATGCTAAATGTTGCCACCCGTGAGGCTTCTCAACATCATACCAACGAAAAAAATTGCAAGACTCATATCCATGACCAGTTCTACAACCCGTACAAGCATAAAACCTCCTCCCAGGATTGTCATTGGTCCAAGCTTTCACAATCTTAGCTGCCCGCTTACAATTACACAACACACCATAATCGTTCTTGTATTCCATGGTTGAAGAACTTGAAATCTGAGCCATCTGCGAATTTAGAGTTCACAATGGTTATACACGAGTTTAATCTGATTAAAAAAACGATGCAATCGATGGAAAATGATAATGAGGTCACAAATAGAGGACAATTCCGACTTACCGCTTTTGCGCTTTTGATCTGCCCCTTCGTGCTTCAATTTAAATTTTCTGGGTAAAAAGGACGTAGGAGGAACCCTAAATCGAATTGGGTATTTCTAGATTTAACGGCCCTTTTTTTTTATGCTGGATTATTGTTATATAATTAATTGATTAATTGATTTATTTAATTAAATAAATTACAGAGATTACTTTTTTATTTAGTTTAATCACGTTTTCAAAATCAGAGAACGGAAAATTATGAATTCTCAACGGAATTAGGAAAGCCATTAACGGAGTTAACTATTCCGTTGAAAAATTTGGTGGCGCGTAACAAAGAACCACCTTCAAGGTTTGATATGCTAAACTTCCTACGTTGAAGGTTTAAAATGCTAGTTATAAACCTTCGAGGTTTAAAATGTCAATCGCTGCCACTTTAAAGGTTTTTTATGCGATTTTCCCTATTTTTAAACTTTGATTTAATCTTTATTAAGCTTCGACCTATGATTAGTTTTTAGATAGAATCCACTCTTAGTCTCTTACATTACTTTTCTGTGTTTTTATTCTACTATGAGATAATCGTTCAAGTTGAAACCAATTACCGATCTCCTTTTCATGTTTCTTGCTTTTTAAAGAAAATTGAAGGAAACTTTAAATTTTCCAAATTAGTAACGAAATATAAGATAAAAATCAATGAAAATGAGTTATTCGCTAAAAAAAGAGTATCTGTTCTTAGAGGTTGCAATAGACAATAGTTATGGAATGGACCTGAAGTATGAATGTATGATACAACTGTGCACCACATGGCCGTGCTTATGCTTTTGTTACCGAAAAAGGCAACACAACACAAATTCATTTGCAATATCGTGGAAGCACCCTTAGTATGTATAACAGACATGTAAAACGTATATTTCGTCATTATAACGTCTAATTGCGATCATGATTACTTTTGACTTATTTTGGTAAGAGGAAAAGTCGGGAGTTGTAGTAGCAGCTATAACTACCGCGCGCACCGACTTTTTCCCCTATTTTTAGGTTAATTTATCCTTTATTTGTTACTCCTTTTCTGCTTATACTATAATACTAATGTTATTGTTTTAATATATATATATACAGATCGATATTAATGATATGAAACATGTTTTTTTTTTCATAATCTTTGGGCATAAAATTTTTAGTCCTCTAATCATAAAGGAGACGATTAGGATAGAACATTGTAACTAAAACAAGGATTTAACCCTAAACATGCGAGATATATAAACTAAAACAAGGATTTAACCCTAACTCACTTCCCCCATTTATAATTATAGTATTATAGATATATTTCAAATACTGTATCTCTTTATCTATTTATTTAATTTATTAGACCATACTTAAAAAGAAAAAACATTCCAAACACAAAGAGTTGAAAGAAAAAAAGTGCCTTTATTAAGTTTTTATTTTTGTAATTTTAATCCTCTATTCAGTTCGGACGACTTGTTTTGTATTCTTCTCGACCATGTCTATCATCAGTTCAAATGCTATTGTTTGAACTCACAAGTGACTGTCAAACACGTACAAAAATGACACTACTGGTGCGGTATTCGTGTCCTAGGATTAACAGAGAGAATTGACATTAGATTGTAATTAATTAATTTTCCAGTTACAGTAAAGAAATACTTATCGATGCAATATACTAACCTCGAAATATGTAAAATGTAAATAACTATGATGTGCCTTTTAAAGCCTTCAAGTTCACTCAACGTGCAGCCTTTACAGATATGTCTCGAAAATTCCTCGAATATAATCATAAATCATAATAAGTACAATTTTCTTATAATCCGAGAAAATTTTTAGTTCGATATGATTATTTATAAATGAGAAAATTTCCTACAAGCATCAATAATACTTTTGGAGAGATGCTACATGCTAGTATGTATCTATCTTCTCTTTCGGGAGGATTAAACTATTATATATCCCATCTACCACTTTAAGCATCAATGACGCATTGATTTCTTTAGAGGACATAATTAGGTCATCGTAGTGGTTGATGTGTAGAATATTCATCTAATTTTTGTCGTATTACAAAACGTTTTTTATTTATTTTAATTTTTATAAAATGATTGCACTATATTTCGCTCTTTTTTAGTACAACGCAAAGCAGGCATGTTCTTCGAAACTTTTCTGGGTCAATAATAACAAATAATTAACCAAAACATCTGTACACAGTCAGAGCGCCGCAAAGCCTGTTTAGCAAGTATAATCAAACCAAGATTAAAAAAATGACATATTAACATAGTGTAAGCTCATTAATCGAAACTTATATAAACTTATTACATAGTGTAAAGTTATTAAATTTAGATAGACGGCCAAATGGATCTAATCTTATCGAGTACTTTACATCATTATATATGACATGCTAACTATAGAAGTCAACACTAACAATAACAATAACGACTAAAGTCAACACTAACAATAACAATAACGACTAAAGTCAACAACTAGTTCAATACAAATCCACAGGACCACAATTTACAAAGGAAATTCATTTTCTAACGATGAGTAATTAAGACTAACTAAAATCGAATGATTAGTGGTAAATTAACACCATTGATTAATTAAAGTGATTAAAGAAGACATATATTTTGCTACTATTATAGTTCCAGTAAGTCACAAGACAAGTGTCTTCTAGCTAAACTCCACACCTTCCAACTAAGCTTTTTTCCCAAAACTTATCTTTACTTTTTCGCTCTTTCTCTTATCCAAAAAAATATTTGTTCACCATTTAAAGTAAAAAGAACCATTTATATCATCAAGAAAGGTAAACAAGAAAGGAAAACATGAACACAAACAATCATGGCCTTCTCATAAGGAGCTTAGTCTTCGTATTTTCACTTCTTTACTTCCCCTACTTAGCCATATCGGAGACTCCGTGCCCGTACCCGTGTTACCCGCCGCCCATTGGCGGTGGCTCCTCCACGCCGTCAACAACTCAACCACCACCGTATCCTCCTCCAGCCGTCAACTACCCTTCTCCGGCTGGGTATTTACCAAATAACCCTTCTCCACCATACAACGGTGGAGGCGGTAGTGGCGGCAGCTTCTATGGCCCTCCACCGCCCGATGCTATATTGCCTTACTTCCCCTACTACTATAGAAAACCTCCTCACCAAATGGATCAAACGTCGTCGTCTTCACTCGTGGCGGTTCCAGGGAAATTGATGGTGAGGATAGTAGCCGTGGCAAATCTTGTAGTGGTTGGAGTTCTCGGTAACATTTGGTTTATAACTTAATTAATTTCTAGTGGAAAATTTTCATATGTTATATAAGTATTGTAATACTTTATAATATACCGCAGAGGAACTACAGCAGAACAAAAAATATGTTGATTCTAGAGGTTAAGAACTTTATTTGTAATATTTCTTTTATGATTATAATTACTCATTGTCATTATATTAATACTGTAGATTTAATAAAATGGTGTCTTTGAGGGGAAAAAAAATACTGTAATACAGATATACATTTTTAAAGTTACGTCATATCATGGATTGTCGCGATCCTTGAATTAGGATAAGTACGAGCAATGTCAATAACGTCACTTTTCGTGAGTGACTTCGTGTGGACAATGGAGGTTAATTAACTAATGGAAAAAGATTAGTTAGTATTGAATGGAAATGTAGTTTCACATTTTTAAGGTGATTTTTCCATATAATTTATCCTTTACCAAATCTAATATATTTTTTGTTGAAGGTCATTTTTAATTAATGGTATATTAGAGATAAAAATATTTTTTCATATTTAAAATATTTTTAACAGTGGTGAAATATATCAAAACGTTATAACGTAGAAATTAGAAAGTAATACAAATTTTTGAAAACGGTTTAAATGCACCACTTACAAATCTAAATAGAAGCCACCCTTGACCATGATCGGATAGTAAGTGGTAATAAGCCTTTGAAAACTTAATTAAAAAAAAAAGCCTTTGGAAACTTATTAGTGGAATAATTATTCTAACATTAGCTTACAAATGTTCTGATTGTACTTATTTGTATTTTTTTTTTATATGTTATAATACTCTAATCATCATTACACAGAAACACAGAGAAACAATTGATTCCATAGTACTAATTGCAGCTGAAGTTGAACTTTAAGAACAAAAGCAAGAACGGTGAATTGCTCACAAAGCAACCTCAACCGCAGAACGCCTAACCGCTAAACTCCTTCTGTTTGCGTTGTTTCTCGCTGTTTGATCGCTGCTCTTTGGCCGAAGAATACCATTTAGACTCTTCTGTATATCCACCTTCTTTTTGTTAATATTGAGTTTACTCTTGGCCGTTCCATTTGCCATTGACTGATCACTACTAGCTTTAGATGAGTGTTCTTTAGCATCTTCTCTTGCCTTTGCTTGACCTTTTGACGTGTGTTGAGGTCGAGCTTGTATGCTTTTAGGCATTGGTCTTGCTTTAAAGTTGAGAGCTTTAGACACTAAAACTTCCACCTTTTCCTGCAGCATCAGAAAATGTTCACTCATAAAATCAAAAATTCAACTGTGAAATTGGAACAGAGTAAATGAAAGACAGGTTAGTTATCTCTGTACCCCTTTCTTCTTCTGGTCTCGTTCTTTAGTTCTGAAACTGAAACCATTAGCAGCTGTTCTCTTGTCTTTTGTAGTCGCCAAAGGAGTTAGGCTCTCAGTTTTCTTTGATATTGGAGCTTGAGATGCAATGGATTTAACAGTCCCCTTCGGCTTCAATTTTGTTTCTCTGCCAGACCCCATATATTCTTAAGAGTGGTAAAAAGAAAACAAAAAAACAGATATAAAGTTGCATGAAAAGAGAGAGATAAGATTAAGCTATACCTCTTAGAGTCAATACTGCTTTTTGTTTTACATCTTGGAGATTCCTTTGTTAGCACAACATGCTTCTTGGTAGAAGCTTTGGTGGCCACAGAATAAGTACTAGCTTTCTTAACCATTTTCGAAGGCTTCGATGTAACTGCAGAGGAAGATGTCGTTTCTTCTTTGTCCTCAAGACTCATTTCACTATGACCAATTTCAGTTTTATCCAAAGCAACAGAATGAGAACTGTGACCATCTTCAGAATTCACCAGATTATCTTCATAACTCACACAAGAATCACCAAATGGGCTTTTTTCTTGATCATATTTGTCTTGTTCATAGCTGTTGTGGCTACACTGACTCGTGCTTTCCCACAGATTCTCATCTTTCTCATTACAAGTTTGATGATGATGATGATGCTGATGAACAACTTCTCCCCATGTTTGAGCTTCTTGAGAACTTGGAAATCGGATACCTTTTTTCTTGAAATGAGCCTCGAAATGAGCTCTCATCTGAGTAACAGAGCCTGGTTTAGAGAACTTCTCAGCCTCTTCTAGATATCTGTTGTGAGAGAAGGATGATCTCTTCTCCCATGATAAATCTTCCTTCTCAAATCTTCCAAATGATATCGATCCTGAGTGAATAGAATTCTCCTGCAGCCCATTTGGAAACACGTCAAGCCTTCTATAGTTTCAAACACAATTTTGCATTTGTGTTTGATTTTACGTTTTTTGATATATAAAAGATTTTCAGTTTTTTTCATAAACGTTTTTGACAAAATTCAAACGCAAAACGCCAAAATGAAAAACAGAAAGTTGTGGATTCAGTAAAAAAAAAAAAACACTAAACTTAAATGCATATAATCCCAGACGCAAACACGAACAAATAATCTGAAAATTAGAAGAAGACAAAAGTAGTTAAAAGTTGCGGAAATAACCAGAAGGCTTAGGTTAAACGGTTCTTGAATCTCTCCCGCCATCATATCAAGTTTGATAATTTCCTGTTAATTGAAAAATATCAGCCAACGTTTTTAGTAGTTTTGTCGAAATATAAGCATACCTGAAAGAAAAATCCGTATTTTGTGACAATAGAGCATGAGAAGCAGAGAGATGTAAACGGAATTGATGAAGTAACTTGGAGCACGAATGAGGAACTTCGTAAATAAAAGCGTCCAATTCAATAATGATGTTCATGTCATGTCACATGTGCTTTCTTTTCTTCCTTTTATTTTTTGTCTTGTTCTTGAACGGACGCTTCTCACATTCTCCGTTATCACGGCCGTTTAATTCGGTGGATCATGATCAACGGTCGTGAATTTACAGTGTGATGGAGATTATTCTTAACCGTTCGATCGTTCTAAGATATCGTTGATCAAATGGATGGATATTCACGGAGCGGAAGTATATCAACGTGGGTAATAGTGCAAGAGCTTCGACATGTTCAAGTGTTGCCAAATCTAACGTTAGGCCTCTACGCAGCATTAGATCTTTTTGTGATGTATTAAACAAAACCAAATTTTGACAATATGCTTTATGTAATACATTCAACTATTTGATTTTTTTTTTTGTTTAAAGACTATTTGATTTAGTCATATGTATATAAAAAATTTATAGACTAATGAGAATGAGATACTGGTCAAATTAATATCAAGGCTATGTGAATTTAAGGTTATACAGTAGAACTTCTATAAATTAATACTCGATAAATTAATAATCACTATAATTTAATAAATTTTGTTAGTCCCAAGTCGGGCCAGTGTAAAAATCCATCAAATTCGATAAAATAATAAGATAATAATTTTTTTTAAACTCTTATGTAAATAAATGGTCCCAACAAAAACATAAATTAATAATTACATAAATTTATATAAATATATGTAAATAAAATATTCTAAAATATGAATAGTGTGTTTGTTTTTACTTAAAGTTGAAATCTTGTTAGTTATCATCTCTCTAATTATTATATCAGTAGCTCTTATTGTTGTTTTACAATTTACATTCAAAATTTATGATGATTTTTTGATGTGATAGTTGATTTTTTTATCTGTAAATGTTTTTATTTGTATTGTAGTGTTATCTTCAATTTTATCATCAACAATACTGATAGTAGCCATGGTTTTTTTTATAAATTTTAAACTTATGAACATATATATTTTTACATGGACAATCTAATATAGTGTTAAAAAAAAATCATTGCGATAATTAAGATTGTTAATCATAATTTATATTATGAGATTTGTTAAAATTTTAAAATATAACATTATTCCAAAAAAAATTTAGAAAGTTATATGCAGAAAGCAAATTTTCTCTATAAATTAATAATTATTAATTTATAGTTAAATTAATATCACGATAAATTAATAAAATTGCATGGTCCCACCATTATTAATTTATAGAGGTTTTACTATATATATATATATATATATATATATATATATTTATTTCTACCATGTACGTTTATTTGCGTAGAGGCTTATATAATAAAGATGATGAATAAATGAAAAATGAAAATCATTTAGGATTAGGTCTCATATCAATACCATGGAGAGTAAACAAGGAAACATAATAATTGAGATCTAAGAGTCCAAAAATCATGTGATAATAACATTAATAAGAAATATGTAGTTTATGGTAAGAGACCATGCATGATAATTGCATGTGACTTCTCCCGCGGTTGCAGGAATAAGTCGTCTCCCATATTTAGCTCATCTGCATATGTTTCCCACTCTTTTATCTTTCACCAAACGTATATGATTTAAATGAAATTATTATAATATAAATACGTTATACAAATGCTTATACGAAACTTTATTTCTATAATTAATTTCATACTAGGATTTTTTTTTTTCAAAGCATATATTCATGTGCGTCTGAGTTCTATATCATTTCTATTTGTTTATACATAACACCGTGAAAAGAATCTTGAATACTAAAAGTTTGTGTAAAAAGATAACTTGACTGAACGGAACTCGAGAGAAGAAGATGAACAAGAAAAAAAGGTTCAACGGAACTCGAGAGATTTGGATTAGCTTAATCTTTGGCAACTCCACACCTGTTTTCAATAACATAAGTGGCCATAAAAACAATGGAATCCAAGAAGTGAACCTCGGCAACGGCTTACTATTGAATTTGAGAAGTTGCATATATTATAAATTTTCTTACTTCTAAAATATTGAACCCGGTCGCGTGTAAAAATATATCAATTTTTGATAGATTCTGACAATGAAATAATTAGACAAGTTAGAGATATGGCCCGAAATAAAAGTAAACCCCCCTTTATATTTAGAGAAAATGGAAATGGTCATGTTAACAGCCCAATCACTATTTCTTCTTTGATTACCTGTTTGAAAATTTAAGAGCCATATACATGCATTGAAAGTTAAGCCCAAATTAATATTACAATAAGGTTCAAAATCCATTGTCGGATCAAACCAATAACTTTTGAAGTTTAGTGTTGCTGATGCATCAAACGTATGAGTGAGGAGTACATATGAACGGAAATGAAGGAAAATAATGTTGATACAAAATGATAAGATGATATGCTGTTTTTCTTATATTTGAGTATTAAAGGTATGTATTCTATATATGTTTCGTGAGGTCAGATTCAATGTTCCCTCTTTATGAGAGTTTTGAAGTGATATTTATAGATTTTTGATCTCAATTAGGTTTAGATGCCGAGTTAAGACTTGGGAGTTGGGACGGATAGGTTGTCTACTTCCGGATCAACAACTACGTATCTGGAGAGTAGGTTCGACCCGGCTACTTTCTCTAGAACAAGTTATGATAGCAAAAATGCATATTAGATATATAGAAATAATTATAATGTCTTCTGAAAAACAAAAAAAAAAAATAATGTTTTCTGTATCGTCTCAAAAATGTTGCATGATCTATTTGTTAGCCTCTTTTGCATTTGCTAGTTCTAATTCCTTAAGATGACAGATGATGAGGGTGAGTCTTCGTGATTCCCTACTAGTCCGAAATCCATGTAAGATGTTATGATTGGCAAAATATCTAGTAAATGAAATTCATCCTCAATGTTGAGGTGGTTGCATTGTAAAATTAATATAGTGTTTTCTTCAACTTCAAACTTTCTACAGATTTAGATATCAAATGAAGCAAAAAAAATAGTTGTTGTGACTAAACAGCATTACAAAATTACACTTTTAAGTGATAAACTGTGGTTTTTTTTAAAAGGCATCAATGATATATATGATCGCATTCTGAGAATTTTGTGTGGGCATATTTACCCATGTAAAAAAAACATAGGCATATAACTCTATGATGTGTTCCGATAAATTTATTAGTTTTTTCTCCCTAAAAAGAAAAGTCTGACCAAAAAAAAAAAAAAAAAGAAAAATGGCGTTGGCATGGGTGTCAATGTTGTAATACGGAAAGGAGTGTGAAACTACCATTAACCAACGGTTCACTTGTCGGAGACTTCGAACCGGTGGTCCGTGGATTCGCCGACACCCACCATCACCTGTTTATTTCTCTTTTCTTTTTTTTAATAAAAAGTAAAATATTACTTCCTCTGTTCAGAATTATTTGATGTTTTAGAATTTTTTCAGAATTATTTGATGTTTTCACTTTTCAATGCAAAATTTAATAAATTTTTATAGTTTTTGATCTTTTATATTCTGCAAATTGTTTTTTATTGGCTGAATAATATTTAAATGAATTATAAATAATATTTTTAGTACAAGAAAAATTAAAATTAAATAAATCTTTAAACTGTGTGTAAAAACCTTAAACATCAAATAATTCTGAACAGAGGGAGTATATTTTTCGTTTTTTGCCAATAGAAAGCTTAAAAAAAATGTATATTTAGAATAGCAATAATTAGTATGGTGGTGTACCACGAGAGAATGCAGCCACGCACACGAGGATACCACCATTCCCTCGCAATCCTAATCACTAATCAGTCTTATTATATCTAACTTTTTTCCATAAATCTTTTATCTAACTAAACTTGTCCACTTATGCTACTTATTGAGATCTACTGTTCTACCAGCTTTCTTTCTCTTAGTCTTGTTCACGTTGGATTTGATGTGCGCAAGAATCGTTAATTTTTGTTCAAACAAAAACTCACATACAAATCCTAAAATTGTTGACAAAAAGAAGGAAAACGTATGCAGTTGGAAAACGTAACTAAAACTTTAAATCTAAACTTGTTCTTAGATAACTTTGTTACTTATTTTTTATTTGTTTATACCCATATATCTGACTTATATTAACACGTTACTTTTCAGTGTATGGAGCAAGGATATTAGTAAAAATCACATACGAATTAAATGCATACGAGGAAGGCAAACGGTAGGTACTAGGCAATGGCAACGTTAATTGAAATAAGAGGGAGGGTTTTTGGCCTCTTCGATCACTCTTTGTGATGAGGGGAATTAGGTATAACGAAATGGATTAGTACTTCAATATAATTAACGACAGTGCTTTCTTCTTTTGGGTCCATTTTTTGTTACTACTTGATTTCAAATGCATGCACACGATCTATTGTAGATACTGAGATACATACACCTCTGACCTCTCAATTATTCGAATTAATTATCAAGCGGTTGCTACCTCAGTGACCTCATGATCAGTGGCGGATATTGTCGCAAAGAGACAAGGAGCTCACTTCGCCAGCTGAGACTGCATATATTGTCGATATTTGTTGGTTTCGGTATAATTATAGCCGGAATATTACGGTTTATCTCGGTTATCAATTAATTTTGGTGTTTTTTTACTACAATTCGGTTCAAATCAGTACTTCAGTTCATTTATTCGGTTCGATTTTTGGATTAAATCCATGTTCAAATAGCGCTAGGTGTTAGTCAGGGAAATCTTTTGATTTGTCCCACATCGGCAAAATTGGAAAATTGAGAAGGGAAGCTCCACTATAAATAGGAGTCTTACCACAGCCTTGCAGACATTTTATTGTTACCCCGTAGCGAATCCACGCCAGTTTGGCCTGCACAATATTAAGCATAATATTAAGATATCTCTGATTTTAAAGTAAGTCACCGATTTTTTTTTCAAAAATCGGGATTAGGCGGAAGAAATCAAAAATCTGAATTCATCTTGGATTAACATAGGAAGTATTGAAAATATCACAACCCTTAAAA